AGGTAGTCGCCCGGGGGAGGATATGGTTTGGACGGGGATGTGCCGCTCAAGCCTTGAAATCCCTACCTATTATTAGGAGTCATTTTTCTCGACAAACAAACAACTTTCCACAATTTTCGGGTGTTTTTCACCCGAAATTTTTGCAAATTTTTGAAATACCTGAAAAATACCCATTTTAATGTGGGTTTTTTTGGTTAAAAGTGAGACCCATGTTACACAGTGTGCTGCAATACGATTGAGCTCCCTTGAGTTCCCTTGTTTTGGCCGATGTCGTTCTGTCAAGAACGAGCAGAGCACATAACACATAACAAAAACAAATCATTCACACTTATGCACAGAGTCGACACCGCCACAATGTGTTAAACCACACAGTATTCATATTGTGAAATTCAATTTTACAGTGTTAATGTACCCGCAGATAATGTGAAATTATTTCACAATGTGGCTACTCTGTGGAAAATATTTCATAGTGGAAAAATAGAATTCGCGTTGTGTCCAGACTGTGGTCAATATTTCACAGTGTGATGCTTCTATCAGAAGTAAATGACTCCCAACCAAGGCAAACAATGGAGTATTTAAAGAAAAGAGACGCAGGCATACAAAAGGCTAGTGTATTACGCCTGGTTTTGATAACAATAGACCAGTTCACGGTTAGCACATTACTGCAATGACCCCGAATATCCACAGATCTTAAAAACATGAAGAGGTCCCACTTTGTAAATTTTGAAATAATGACTCCTACAGCGACGGAGGTGTTACATAAATAGCCTTTGTTTCCCCTTTTCAAAGAATACTTCCACCTGTATATCATGGAGTGCATAAATGAATAATGATTACATAACTTTCATGAGCACGTTTCCAGTATTTCGTCTCCGTGTATTTCACAATTTGTTCTGCAATGACCTTTATCTGCTCATGCTCAGACTGCAACCGTGAACTGGCTTATTAAGGGTTGGATTGAGGGATGGATGATAGGAGATGATCATACTGAATATGTCACTTAGAGAGAAAGGTCAGCAAGTCTCGAGCGTAGGCGGGAATTGTAGTGAATTTACTTTATTTTCAAAGTATAAGCTTGAAATTATGAAGTTACTTTAGCCATAAGTACATCGTACACTTATGAATATCAAAAGTTTGCTGCACTATGAATAGCTAACAGTGACAATGTGTTATTTGTACAGTGTAGGCCTACGCCTGCTGCAAGCACAAAGGAATTGCTCAATGAGTGCGAATTCGCTCACATGTATGGAATATTTGACTCTTTGAATAGATACTTTGATTTTGTATAGTAAGATGTGATATGAAGAGTTTAATTCCAAAAGGACCTAAATCCATTTTTGTAACTGCAGAGAAAATAGAAATAGTTTACGAGATTTTGTACAGGCGTATATAAAGTCGAAGTCGTAGCTATCAGCTATATAGCTTGGTGTAGGCCTATAATGGTGCACAAATTCGCCAATTCAGAATTATCTCGTTTTAATGAGATAAATATGTCGTTTTGATAAGAAAATTATCTTATTAAAATGAGATATTATCTCGTTTTAATGAGATTAATATAAGATTAATATACATTTTATAGGCCTAACGTAATGTGCTAAGTAATCATTAATTGGTATTAGTGATTTATTGAAAATAAATTATGATTCATGCTTATTTTCTACCATTCCGCATCGTGCGCGTCGTTCCAGTGCTGCGCATGCGCACATCGAGCGCGCAAAGCGACGCGGCTAGGGTCTTTTTGTAAACAACCTAACGTACCGTACCTAGCCTAGCCAAGCGCTGCGCTGCATATTAATTTGAATAGGGGCTAGACTCTAGATCTAGGCATAGGGGCCTAGATCTAGACCTATATGAATATTTGCGTTGGTGGTACGGATCAAAAATTAAATCGGCCAGATTCTGGACATAGCCAGTGCTCGGTAGGCTAGACCTGGACTAGCTATGTCATTCGTTTACGGTAAGCCACCCGATTTCCTCGCAATGTCATTCAAAATCAAATTTAATTTAGTCTAAAAAGTTAGACCTAACAGTTAACGTTAGATCTAGGCCTAAGATCTAGACCCTAGTCTAGAGGTCTATTTGTAATTTTGTATGAAATTAGATCTAGGCCTATTTGATACATTATCGCATCGGATTCTGTGTGCGTGCGTAGATCTAGATCTAGATCTAGGCCTATCTAGATCTAGACTATCATGAATAGGGTCTATTTGGCCCGTGTTCTGAAGTCAGATCATTTAACACCGGTCTAGATCTAGACTAGATCTAACCTAGGTCTAACTTGTTAGGCCTAGATCTATACTATTATTGTGCAAATACTGTTTATGTAGAGTAAAGGAGCCCGTTTTCGGCCACTTAAGACAAAATCCTATTTTTACTTATTTTAGGACTCTTTACTTCCTATTTAGATCTATTATCATTTCTTGTTCAAATCATGAAGCAAATATTATTATTATTTAAACAAAAAAAGAATCCCAGAAAAAAATCACGAATTGCCATGACAATATTCATTTCAATTTTCACTGTTTTGGAGCCCGTTATCGGCCGAGCGTTTCAGTTTACGGCCGCATGTACAAAGTCAATAGGAAGCGCTCGCGCGCACCGTGCGTTTCCGCGCTGATGTACAGCACAAGCGGGCGGAGCAGGTATCCCACGCCGGAGCTCCCTGATGCTCGCCTGGCCGAAGACAGGCACAGCGGTGATCGGAAGTTGGAATCTGAATTAGACAGAGATATCGTGTGTGCGTCGCGGTGTGCGGCTGCATTGATTTAATACATGCGATGACATACTTTTGAGCTTGCGACTAGCACAAAATCGGGCTCTAAATCTGAAAAATACTCGAAATAAAGCTCATTTTATGGTACCCATATTTCTTACAGACACGCGTAAGATACTCGATTTTTCAGATTTGGGTAGCGGGACCGGCGATTACATCGCTAAAATGTGATATTTTAGGATATATTTTCCATTGCAAATGTGGTTCTTCAGTGACACTGGCATGGTATGGTATGTGTGGGATATGTGTTATGCTATTATGCGATGTATTTTAGAGTGATTTTACCTTGCATCCAACCAATCGGCCGAAAACAGGAGCTGGCCGATTACGGGCTCCTTTACTCTATGTCGTGTAAAAGAAAATTAGTAAAGGAAATGGAAAACTAGAATTATTTAGGGTCTATTTACCCGCAGAACCTTTTTTTTTCATTCCGAACTTCGGACGCACTTGCCAAACATCGGACGTTCATGTATAGCGCACGTATAGCGCATGCGCACACGCTAAAGTGGAGATAGAGTAAAGGAGCCCGTTTTCGGCCACTTAAGACAAAATCCTATTTTTAGGACTCTTTACTTCCTATTTATTATCATTTCTTGTTCAAATCATGAAGCAAATATTATTATTATTTAAACAAAAAAAGAATCCCAGAAAAAAATCACGAATTGCCATGACAATATTCATTTCAATTTTCACTGTTTTGGAGCCCGTTATCGACCGAGCGTTTCAGTTTACGGCCGCATGTACAAAGTCAATAGGAAGCGCTCGCGCGCGCCGTGCGTTTCCGCGCTGATGTACAGCACAAGCGGGCGGAGCAGGTATCCCACGCCGGAGCTCCCTGGTGCTCGCCTGGCCGAAGACGGGCACAGCGGTGATCGGAAGTTGGAATCTGAATTAGACAGAGATATCGTGTGTGCGTCGCGGTGTGCGGCTGCATAGATTTAATACATGCGATGAGATACTTTTGAGCTTGCGACCAGCACAAAATCGGGCTTTGAATCTGAAAAATACTTGAAATAAAGCTCATTTTATGGTACCCATATTTCTTACAGACACGCGTAAGATACTCGATTTTTCAGATTTGGGTAGCGGGACCGGCGATTACATCGCTAAAATGTGATATTTTAGGATATATTTTCCATTGCAAATGTGGTTCTTCAGTGACACTGGCATGGAATGGTATGTGTGGGATATGTGTTATGCTATTATGCGATGTATTTTAGAGTGATTTTACCTTGCATCCAACCAATCGGCCGAAAACGGGAGCTGGCCGATTACGGGCTCCTTTACTCTAATACGCATTCATCGGAGCGGAGGTTTGAAACAGGATCAAAAATCGTAAAACGGGGGTAATTTTGACTGCGTTGATTTCATGAAAAAAATATTATTTTCTCGTGTTTGGTAGATTTAAGTTAGGTAGAACTATAAGAAAGCTGTTTTCACAACACTCGCTCAATATTTTGGTGCTAAAATCTTACGAAAGCGCTATTTTTTCGTAGAGTAAAGGAGCCCGTTTTCGGCCACTTAAGACAAAATCCTATTTTTAGGACTTTACTTCCTATTTATTATCATTTCTTGTTCAAATCATGAAGCAAATATTATTATTATTTAAACAAAAAAAATCACGAATTGCCATGACAATATTCATTTCAATTTTCACTGTTTTGGAGCCCGTTATCGGCCGAGTGTTTCAGTTTACGGCCGCATGTACAAAGTCAATAGGAAGCGCTCGCGCGCGCCGTGCGTTTCCGCGCTGATGTACAGCACAAGCGGGCGGAGCAGGTATCCCACGCCGGAGCTCCCTGGTGCTCGCCTGGCCGAAGACAGGCACAGCGGTGATCGGAAGTTGGAATCTGAATTAGACTGAGATATCGTGTGTGCGTCGCGGTGTGCGGCTGCATTGATTTAATACATGCGATGAGATACTTTTGAGCTTGCGACTAGCACAAAATCGGGCTTTAAATCTGAAAAATACTTCAAATAAAGCTCATTTTAGGGTACCCATATTTCTTACAGACACGCGTAAGATACTCGATTTTTCTACAAAACCAAAAAGGGGTAATGATGTTCCCCAATTTTTCCGTGGGAGAAAAAAATAAAAGAAGATTGTTCGTCCTACATAGTACATAAAATGTTCCCATCCTAATCAAATGAATCGTGCCCTCCCTGCCCTGCGATAAAAAAATAAAATGACCGCTAATCTGCTCTTTTTTTTTTTTTTGCTTTTTCTTTTTTTTTAAAGGAAGAATTGTGTAGGCGGGTATTTAGTCTATTTTTTGGAAATCGAATTGCTGATCTAGCCTAGAATAGTGGACTTGAAACATGGTGAAGCGACGTTCGAGCCACTTCAACAACCACGTAACATGGGAACAAACCCCGTCTGACGATGATGATGATGATGAATCGAGCGACAGTGACTCAGTCAGGCCCCGGTCTCCCACCTGTACAGACGAGGGTTCGGGTAGCGAGGAGGAGGGTTCGGAATCGGAATCCGAGTCCGATGTGTCATCAGGAGGAGGGAGTTCTTCCATGGCCCGCCGGATTCGGGGTACCTCTTTGATAAAGGTAGTTCTGTGTAAGGAATAGTCTATTATAAACAATCAAATGAACAAAAGACAACGAAAATATGCAGTAATATCCCCCAAACAAAAGAAGAACTAGATGGAACTTCGACTGCGCGCAGTCGAAAATGATGCCTCCGTCATAAAGCAATTTTTCAAACCAAAACAGAAGAAAATTTTCAAATTCATGTTTAATTGTAATCCATTAACAGGTTCTCAGAAAATCGTGATAACAAGCAATTTCTCATATACATATATGACTCTTTGATCTTTGACCTCACGACCCTAAAATATACTCAGTTCATTGGCTCTGCAAGATGTCCTGATTTAAATAGTAATCCATCTGTCTGTTCTAATGATAATGCGATCACAAGCTATTTTTGCATACATAGGGAGCCGCATGACCTTTGACCTTTAATTTATGACCTCAAAATCTAATCAGTTCATCGGCTCTGCAAGTAACATACAATAGTCATGACCTAAGTTTGGCAGGAATCCATCAATCGGTTCTTGAGATAACGCGATCACAAGCTGTTTTTGCATACATAATGAGCCCTGTGACCTTTGACCTTTGACCTCGTGACCCCAAAATCTAATCGGTTCATTGGCTTTGCAAGATACATACATGACCAAAGTTTGGCAGGAATCCATCAATCGGTTCATCAGATAACGCGATCACAAGAACGGGACGTACGGACGGACGGACGGACAACTCGAAAACATAATGCCTCCGGCTACTTCGTAACGGAGGCATAAAAAGAAATTACACACACACACACCAACACGCGCCCACAAAAATCGGCGTACAAAGTTTGAAAAGAAATATATATTTGTCAACACGATTGAGCAAAATTTCGGTAACTGCATAGTCTACATGAAATTCCGCACCAGAAAGTTTTTTTAGGAAATTTCATCGCTTGATTATTTCAATATTTGTCAGATTATTGATAAGGTAGATTATAGAGTTATGAAATTATGAAGATCGTAGTTGGTAGTTGACACTTGATAGCCTGTTTGTTTTCATTGTGATGTGTCACAACAAATTCCATCCATCTTTTTTCGATTAAGGGAATGACACTTTGAAATGCTTGTCCAGATTTTCAGAGACAAATTCCTTCATGTTTTCTTCTTCTTTTTCTTTTCTTCTTGAATCTTAGCTGGTGACCTCTAAATATCCCGGTGTGAAACAAGCCAGGATTCTCTTGGGTGCTCTCACACCGGGTGAGATTGATGGGGAGCTGAGGGCTACAGACGGACGAGGCAACAGCGTCATCCACTATGTCTGCATCAAAACACTCCTACCTTGGCTTGAACTCATCATACAGCACGGTGGAGGTACGCCGATTTATGATGGTGAAATCGACCTCTTAAAAAAATGGCTAAATAAAAGATACACAAATGAAACAAAATATCTTGCGAAATGATGCGCATTTCAATGAATGTCGCCCCGTATCCAAAACCTATATCTACTTTGATATTTACATTTTTTTTAATTTTTTTTTTAGATGGGAGGGGGGGGGAGGGGTGGAAGTACTTTTCTAAACCAAAATTGATTTTGAAATTTTCGCAAATTCGACTTCACAGCCGTAGGTCATGCTCAAGAAAGCCAAATATTTCTTGATCATGGCCAATGTTGATTTCAGCCATCAATAAACAAAGTATTTTCGGTCGGAATTAAAATCTCTTGATATGGACGATGAGCGAGGGTTCACTTCCAAACTCGAGATCTAAATATTTATTTTGTGTTTTGTTTTAAATATTTTTTTTTTAGATCTGGAGGCGAAAGGAGCAGGCGGAAAGAGACCGATACATCTTGCACTCAAAGAAAGAGCAAGGAATGAACGCCAGGTAAAGCCTCGGACACAAATGCCATTACGAACTGTTACGAACGCCGTACGAACGTTTTTCAAACAATGGAAAAACAGGGAGATTCGCACGAAATTATCGTTCGTACGAACCTTTGTGACCGTAGCATAAGCCTGAAGATGTCATCCCTTTCAATACAGGATTTATATTTGGGGCTAAATTGATCACATATTGATCTTCAAATTGGCAACAATAGTAAATTTCTTTTATAGCTACATTGTTAAAATAAAATGTTGTGTCTGTATAAACAATTGATATGGGCGGGAATGTTGGCGAAAAACTGCAAATTGCCAATTCTGATCAAAAAAATAATGCTTTTGAATTTCCCAATTCACCTTAAAGATGGATATATTTGCAATTAAACTTTTGATTTTTTTTTTATCAAATGTTGTCCTTTTAAACAATATTTTGTGACAGAACGGTTATTCACAAGGAGTGACATGAACAGTTAACAATAAAATCATTCACACCCCTGTAACTTTTGTTGGTTGAATACTTTTAGATGTAAACATTTTTGGTAACATTTTCAAGAAACGTAAACCGGGACATCAAATTTCACTTCAACAAATCCAAAACTTTAAAAGGGTACGAATAATTTAGTTCTTAACTGACATGTATGACCCTAAAAAGCAGTGTTTGTTGTACTTTGGCAGACCCGGGACAAAGCGCGTATGGTTGAACTCTTGGTAGCCAAGAAGGTAGAGGTCAACAAAGAGGATAATCAAGGTCAAACGCCATTACAGCTTGCCTGTAAGTTTGGGGGACAGAAGACCGTGATCCGAGCCCTCCTGTCACATCCAGACATTAGAGTCGATGTAAGTATCGCTGATGGTAACTATATATATATATATATATACCAGATAGACTATTCAGAGAGAGACAGAGAAAGAGAGAGAGAAACAAATTCGTCAGGCTTGTCAAAGCTCTCTTGTTTTCCCACTCTCAATTCCACTAGCTCCTTAGAGACACAGAGAAAGAGAGAGTCACAGAGGCCCGAATTCACAAAGGAGGTTTGTCGACATATGCGCGTCATTTGACGCATTATATGACGCACATAAACGTACAAACCTAGGTTTGAAACGCGTCAAATGACGCACATAAACCTAGGTTTGTCCACAAACCTCCTTTGTGAATTCGGGCCACCGAGTTTGATGGTCAATAGATCGCGATCAATGAGACCCCTTCTACCGCATCCAGACACCAAAGATGTCGATGTACAGTATTGAGTCCTAACAGCCACCTGTAATCATTGCTAAACCGATTGGTATGCCTACTAAAAGGCGAAGAATAGCACTGACGAGAGACATAATTATTTTTCTTGCGCTCATCAGGCGAGTGTAAGAGCTTTTGCTTTATGATCACATTCAACAAAAGTTGGTTTTGGCCGGGGAGTCTTTATTGAAATTTCGAAGAAGAGCAGTAGTAGACCTGTGGGGCGTTTCACAAAACTTGTCATATTAAAGTGACAAATTACGGTTTTTGTTTAAAGCTACTGAAATCCTTGCCACTGATTTTTGTCATTTGTCATTGAAGAAAGGCTTTGTGAAACGGCGGGCCCCTGATGAAGTAATCTCTATCACCTGTGTGTGTGTGTGTTTCCAAAGATGCACTTCGGAAACGTTTTCTTATATACCTGTGACTTTTGGTTAAAGGATGCACTTTCCTCATTTTAGGGTTCAAAATATGCATAGTCATTTTAGGCCAAAGTAGATGCCAAACTTTTAAGAAAGGAATTAAATGAGTCCATGCGTCTGAAGATCTCATGCCCTAATGATAAGTTTAAGAATTGTATTCGGGTGCTTGAACACGCTGCTCATCATCTTGTATAGGATGGTGCAAGGGACACACCTTCCTGTTTTACTCTCGGAAAGGGTTTCTACAGCACTTATTTACACTATCCACCGTATTTTACCTTTGATATTATCCTCGGCAACCTGTGAAACATGAGATGTTAGAGTCAACGATTCTCGATTTTTTTTTCTGTACAAGATGGCGCACATGACACACAGCGTTGTATACATGTAAGGAAATTAATGTACATGTACTTTAACAACCTAATATCACATTTGATAAATTTGTCAGCAACCTGTAAAGCACGGAAGGGTAAAGTCAACGCTTCTGAACATCTCCTGCCACAACAACCAGTTTGAGAACGCTCTACTTCTGCTCAAGCACAATGCTAATCCTCTAGCAGAGGATGGCACCAAAGACACGCCTCTGTACACCATACTCAGGAAAGGGCACATGAAGTATGCTCTACGTTTCTTGACAACATGTCAGAAGAAGGGCCATGACATGCGACAGGTATTGTTACAAGACCTCTCCGTTTCGCCTTTATAAGGGCAAGACAGCAAGTCCAAGATTTTTGTCATTTTCTATTCCAAACGTTGCCAAGAAGAAAGACCGATACAAGCTCTGTTAGGTTGCGTGAACGACGTCGGTAACATATGGGACAAGTTACTTTGGACTTGTCCATTTCAATCGTCATCTTAAAGACATCTTCGCCTAAATATTCGTTCAGTAAAGGTTTTTAAACCAAAATACCATATTCATATTTGTCAGAATAAATGTGTCTCCCGAAGAAGAAAAAATGGAAAATGCCCCATCTAAGAGAACTCGCCTGATTTGGGGCGATTGTCTTTTTCTCTATCTAACGCAGGTTGAAACAAAATTAAGCTTGTCTATTATCATATATTGTTTTCCTTTTTTGACTACCTTTTGAGATCCTCAAGAATACAACAACAAAAAATGATTTTACCGCCTTTCATTTATTAATTGGTATCGACGTTGAGACCGAGACTTTTATGTTACTTCTAGACAATTGATGAAAAAAACATTCTCTGACAGCATTAATACATTACTAGTGTTAGGTCATTTGGCATGTATAAATATTTCTCTTCAGATCTTGTCGGCCAAGAACGTTTACAATAAAACTGTTCTCCACGAAGCAATTATAACGGGACATGAGCTGCTTGTCAAATTCTGCCTCGATTGTAGTAAGTATAACTTCCAGGGGGGGGGGGGTGTTTCACAAAGAATAAGATCGACTTTAAGTTGGACTTAACTATGACAGGCCGTTCATACCACTGTTTTCTCTCACCGTTTACTGACATTGGTCTCTCAATAGACGTACAAATCATGGTCACAAAAACTACAAAATTTACAGTTTTTGATAATTCATAATTGAAGGAAAAAATATCTAATGGTGATGGCAAACAGTTGCATGAATGGCCCGCCATAGTTAATTCCAACTTAATTTCGATGTTATTCTTTGTGAAACATTCCCTAGGTCAGAAGTGTAATCTGTAGAACATGCTAGCTGAAGAAAAAAAAATCATATAACCTTTAGAAGCAGCATGACTGATGTGTCCGTAAAGAGTAGATTAAACAGTTACGTTGATCATTGTAATATTCTTTTTACGTATCATTAAATAATGTGGTATCCAAGTACCTGCTTTTTGGTAGTAAAATCATGTAGTGTTTCATATATATACCAAATTCTTTCAGTTAAGTTAAATAACTTTTTTCTTAAACAAATATATATCTTTAATAGTAACAATACAAATAGAATTGGAAAATCCGGCGCTAGGACAGCAGTCATGTTTAACTAAGGGGGCAATTTAAGAAAATTCGGTCTAACTTCCTGCTTAGGACCATAGTACATTATTCTAATTAATATCACTATTTCATCGTTCAAATCCTCTAGTGACCCCTAGCAATCAGTCTGATGGGACAGATTCCAATGACTATCTTCTCAGCGTCACGTCAAGATACAATACCAACGTGATGCATTCAGCATGTATGAAAGAACACCTTGCCATCGCCATTCTCCTCTATGATCTGTGCCCCAAGCTCCTCGATGCAAGGACCACCAAGGGATGGACGCCTCTGCACTATGCATGCAGGGGCAACTATGCCGAGCTGGCCGAAGAGCTCTGTTCCATGTTACAAAGGTAATAATAATAATAATAGGCATTTGTATAGCGCCGTCTATCTAGACAATACTATTCCGAGGCGCACAAGAAAAATAGGAAGAATGAGAAAGTTTGGACGAGAAAGTTCGGATTAGTGTCACAGTGCCAAGTAGAGGTATTGTTAAAAAAAGATAAGATTTCAGCTTGGATTTAAAGGTTTCTAAGGAAGTTATGATTCTCAAATTAGATTGGAAATTATTCCAAAGACAAGGTGCTGCAGATGAAAAAGCCCTTTCACCACAGGCTACTCGTGTCTTTGGGATCTTAAAAAGATGCTGGTGTGATAATCTTAGACTACGAGCTAGTGTATGAGGCATAACAAGGTATGTTGAAGTTTGTCAAAGGTAAGTCTAGACCTAGTTATCACAGATCCGCACGAAGCGTCATGCATGTTGATTCAGTCTTTACGGAAAGACACCTTGGCGTCGCCGTTCTTCTCTACATAACGTTTGTTCTCAGCTTCTAGATACGAAGACCAGTAAATCATGGACCCTACTGCATTGTAATGAGGTAGAGTTCTGCTCCATGTTGCAAAGGTAAGTCTAGTCCAGTTATCCCCGTCGCACATGAATTATTAAAAAAACGTCATGTTGCTTCAGCCTGTACGAAAGGACACATTGACTTCACGGTTCTGTTTTATGATGTATGCCCTAACCTCCTGGGTAAAAATACAATTAAATGATGGACGCCGGCTCTGCACTATGTTAAAAGTTCTACTACAGGTTGCAAAGGTGAGTCTACAAAGACCAGTGATCTGCGTCGCACATGAGACGTCATTTCGCTAATGCTACGGTCACAAAGGTTCGTACGAACGATAATTTCGTACGAATCTCCCTGTTTTCCCATTGTCTTCCCGAATTTCCATTGTCTGAAAATCGTTCATACGGCGTTCGTAGCAGTTCGTAATGGCATTTGTGACCGAGGCTTAACGTACATATTGGATTGCGTCAGCGGTTATCGTGGTCTTTGATGGTAGACTATGTTAGCTTAGCGTCGGACAAAAAGCTTTTTAACTCTGTCATTGATCAGGTTTAAAATCCTCAAAGTACAGTGAGGTTTAGGCCAAGAATCTGGAAAAAGATCTTAATTGATTTTTAAAAATCTTTTCTTTCTGTTAAAACTCACGCATTTCCTGTCGTGAGACGTGTATTCTATCAATCGTATCTTATGTTTAGCTTTGAGCTTTGATAGGGACCTGAAACTTACTGTGGATGCTAACGAATGAAAGTCCATCTGTCCTCGTGTTTACAGCTACAAAAGAGAATTTTTATGCCTCCGTTACGAAGTAGCCGGGTTGTCCGCCCGAACGTACGTCCGTACGTCCCGTTCTCGTGATCGCGTTATCTCAAGAACCGACTGATATATTCCTACCAAACTTCGGTCATATGTAACCTGCGGAGCCGATGAATTCATTAGATTTTTGGGTCACGAGGTCAAAGGTCACAGGGCTCATTATGTATGCAAAGATAGCTTGTGATCCCTTATCTCAAGATTCCTGTCAAACTTAGGTCATGTATGTATCTTGCAGAGCCAATGAATTGATTAGATTTTGGGGTCATGAGGTCATAGGTCAAATGTCACAGGGCCCATTATGTATGCAAAAATAGCTTGTGATCACATAATCATTAGAACAGATGGACAGATTACCATGAAACACATGTATTTATTTTGTTGAGGCAATGAGCTGATTAGATTTTGGGGTCATTGCTCTTTGACGGAGGCATCACTTTCGACTGCGCGCAGTCGAAGTTCCATCTAGTTATTGTATGATTGTCCTCAAACTAAAGAAAACAGGCCAGACCATCTGGAAATATATCTTTCACATAAAGTGCCGTTTTCCTTTAATTTTCATGCAATATCTCGTCTGAGTTTTATACAGTTGAACCTGTCTTTAATAGAGGCAATCTCTATATAGTGGCCATGTATCTTTTCCCTCTTGAGATAGAGATTTGTGTTGTAGAACCTGATTAGCAAGGCCACTTGACCACTCTTCAAGTTTCGTTTGGTGGCGTTTTATAATAATAATAATAATACTATTGGATATTTATATAGCGCACATATCCACCCTGCAGGGTGCTCAAAGCGCTCCAATATTACCCCGGATCTGCTAGGAGCTACCGATGTCGGTGCTCACAGCATTCAATGAATTACTTCCTACCGGTCCCCATTTACTTCACCTGGGTGGAGTGTGGCAAATGTAGATCAATGGCTTGCCAAAGGACATTAGTGCCGCGGTGGGATTCGAAACGCGGGCCACTCGTCCACGACACATCTACATAGACATGTTTGACTGTATTGACAATTGTTTACGTTCAAATCTTATTTCAGTCACGACGAAAGAGGCTTACAGTTGACAATGGACAACAACGAAGCAGATGGAAGCCCACCACTCCTCAAGTTCACAGCTCTTAAAGGATCCACCGACTGTCTGGTTGTTCTCCTGAAACACGTGAAGGAACCATCCACCGTCATTGAGCTCATAAAGTGGGTTTCTGCTGAAAAGAACTTCTCCAAAGTCCTTGAGGTATGACGTTAAACTTGAAACTTTCGCTATAAGAAATTGTTTCATTAGATCAATTGGTAATTTGATTTACTATTAGGCGAAGAATATGTCCGCATACCTGCCAACCCTTCCGAATAATCCGGAATATTCTGATTTTTAGGATTTATTTTGTTTGTGCTGAAGCCGAATTAAGCTTGTTTTGTCATGTGCCGAGATGTGAGAGTTCACGTATTGCGTGCGTTCAATGGCAGCATGATCGAGCAGCTAATTTGTGTTCCCTTTTTGGTATAGATTTACCGCGTATTGCCAGTTACACTGCCGCTGCAAGTGCGATTTCTTATTTTCGAAGGCATACTGTGCTAAAAATTCCTAACTCTCATTTTCAAATGTTCGCAGGTATGTGTCCGGTATGACTTTTTTTTCTCCGTTTGTTTCATCCAAAAGTAGAATATTCTTTGTATAATTCCAAATTGACTAATGATTCGTTTTTGTATTAATTATTAGCATGATTATTCAATAATCGGATCAAGATTAAATTTCTAATGAGAAACATTGCTCAGATTTATCCTACTACTTTTTTCTAGATCTATTTCATGAGTTACACGGCCATATTAAATAGTCTTATCCCCCTTTTTTTGCATTATTATATGTAGCAATACGATGGTTTATTTTCTTAATAATAATATCACATCGTTATAACACTTACGTTGCTATACGATGTAATTAATATCATAGAGTAACTTATTGAATTTTACAATTTTGGGGTCCTTTCCTTCCTCAATTAGGAGTTACTCAGCCGATTTGACTACATCTGCTCAGGGAATTTCGAGGCGATTGATGTAGAGAAAATCATACTACTGTGTGCAGCTAGGGGACATACAGAGTAAGAGACATATTGTAATATCGGAACCGCACAAAGACATGTATTCACAGCATATATAAATCGCAAATAATTTTTTTCAATAGTTTTTTTGTTATTGATTGCAAACAATACAAATTAATCTTAGAAATATGATACAGTTGTTTTTCATCTTGACATGATTCGAAACATTTTCATTACAAAGATTGTACGATTGGTGAAAAATAAAATAAAATCAGTTGTAACCGCATAAACACATGTATACGGGCTTAAAATCGCACACATACGCACATCCAAACACGCCCTAACACACGCACGCACGCACACAACCTGTAGGGTGGTTATCTCGGGGCATTAATTATCGTTCTTGTTTTCTCGAGACACTTTTTTTTTTTTAAATGACATAAATACAATGTAAAATGATGGAGGGAAAACAAATTGCGCTTTATTATGATTCTGGCATGGGATTGTGCCTTTTAACTAGTTTTGCAAGAAAACAATTCGTCTTAAACCTAAATTAATTTAAACGTGAGTGATAACTTAGAGTATAATGCTAATGTAGATCACTTTACAAGCTTGAAGAAAGTTTTATCCCTCTTTTATTATTTCATGTTTCTCGGTCATTACAAAGTCGGTTCGAATTGTTATTGTGTCTTTTTTAGATATTTGTACATCCTGCAAACAGCATATTTCCTTATACAGACTTTGATCATGGTCGAGGCCTTTAAAATACTCAAAATTTAAATATAAATGTATGTCTAATTGTATCACTTACGGTACCTTATGCACAGGAGTCTTCTGCAGTTCATTGCCTGGCACAAACACTCCGTGGCACTGAAGGATGACAACGAGAATACTGTTCTGCACCTGATCGCTGAGGGCGGGCACTTGGACACGGCTAAAGCCATAATCAAGAAGGACAATGCCGTGTTGAACGAAAGGTTTTTGTTTTTATCGTAACTTATTTCACATTAGTTTTACTTGTCAATCATTGTGCTTTGATGTTAATATGCTTTATTTATTCAATTTGTTGTCTTTTTCTTCCTACTGTTATATGTATGATTTTATTTTGAGAATTTGTATATATGTGTATTTTTAGTTTTTAATCTGAATGAGATACCCTGTATAAATATGTGAAATAAATATAAATAAAAGGTATGTTTTTTTTCTTTTCTAAACGGTTTCCTAATGCAAGAATTCGAGGAATTTGGGAATCCTATATGTCCAGGTCAGGAAAAATTATTTCCTTTCTTGAGGTTTAACCAAATACTATCATAGGAACATAATATAGGTACACAAATTAAGCTGAAGATTAATCTTATATTGCTTATTCTTTCGTATCGCTTACGAAATTCTAAACCGTAAACGTGTCAGAAATTTCAATGAACTATTTGGAAGAGAACGATATCTAATTTTCTCAAGAAATATGGTCATATCAAATTTCTCAATTTAAAGATATTTATTACTCTTCATTTTTTCTGAAACTTCTGGTTAATAGTCACCAATATACCTTGTTGCTCAATACCATCATGTTCAACACAGCGATTTTCCCTCACACTTCATTTTTAATCAAGCTACTAGAATGATTCAGATATTATGTTTTCCAATGGGAACAGAACTTAAAAAAAAGATTTGGATGATCATTTTATTTAGCACAAAGGCCCCGTCTGTTAAAAAATGTCACCACCCTTTTACATCATAAATTTCCTTTTCATACTTTTTTCATCAAACAGGAATAGTTTGGGCCAAACTGCGCTTCATCTTGCAATTAGAGAAGGTCACAAACAGATGACCAAACTCTTCTTGAAAACCGAGAAGTCAATGGCTGGTGTGCAAGATGACAACGGAGTGAGTGAATAGGGACTTTTAGATTTGCGTGGACTGATACGTATGACGTCCTTTCAAGGCAGTACATTAAAAGGACGTCGATCGTAGCAATCCACGTTGTCGTTCGGCAAATCTAAAAGTCCCTATTGATGAATGTACCCCACTGGAAATAAGCTCTCACTATGAACATGACGGACAAAGAAAGAGGACAAAATATACAGTTCCTCAGGTAGACAAAGGAACATCCCTTCACTGCTATTATGTAAAAATGTGTAGAACAGGTGTCACATGCATATTCACCTGTTCTACACATTTTTAAATGATAGCAGTGAAGGGATGTTGCTTTCTCTACCTGGGGAACTGTATATTTTGTCCACTTTCTTTGTCCGTCATATTCATAGTGTCTCGAGCTTTCGTGGGTTATCCTGTTCAAGCTGACTTATTTTTGATCTGTTATTATTGTATATTGTTGTATGTTGGAAGCTTGTCGAATAAAAATCAATCAATCAATCAATCAGCAGATAGGTCTGTTTGAATGGTTCCTTTCCATGTCATTCAACTGTTCAATTTGGAACATTAATGATGATTAGGGCCACAATCAAATGACCAAATTCTTCTTGTAAACAGACCGGCCATAGGCCAGTGTATAAGCTATCAACAACGGAGATATCGTTAGTTATATCAACAAATACATTGTTGGTCTGTTTGAATGGTTAATTCTTTAGACATTCACCTCTTCAATATGCAAATTTGATGATGATGAGGGCTGCAATCACGTGAAGTTTTATGCTTTATGCTGAATCCCTCCTATAACTTTTATTTCATGTTTATCTAATTCGTATTGATTATGCATCCAGCGTGTGACTTACCTGTAATTCTTTCTTTATATTGTAATGTAGGCCTACTGTATAATAATCGTATCAACGTCACATCAATTCGCATTAATAAGTACGTACGAAAAGATGATGTAATAACCAATGATAGATATTAAATCAAATCCAAAGTAAATTGAAACATGTCAGATGTGTATCCGTTATTGCCATCTTTGGGTGTACATTTGGTCCTTACTCATTTCATCGTCTTTTTACACCGTTATTGTTTTGTGAGCAAGATTATGTTTTCTTTTCTTTTTCGTACTGTTAAATGTATCAACAGATACGTTGTAGGTCTATTTGAATGCTTTATTGAATGCGCAATAAGAAAATTCTAAACAACTTATGCTTTGATTTTTGTATTCATTTATTCATTTATTCTTAATAGGCCGACAAATAAAGCTCTACTCAATGAATACCATATTGGCCCGAATTCTACTGAAGGATAAACCCAACGCTAGGCTTAAGCCTTTCTTCAAAATTGGATTAACAAGTCTGATGTAAACGTTATATAGTTTAGGTATAACTGAATTACTTCGGACCATAAATTTCATATGATAACGTGTATTTTATTGATTTGTATTTCATTAAAACGCTAATAAAAACAAAGGTTTTCTTTTTCGGTACATCCGTATTAATATCCTGTTAATCGCCATCCTCATGTTACATACAGATGACACCACTCATGTACGCCTGTCAAAAAGGTAATCCGGTCATCGTGGACCTTCTTCTGGAACTGAAACCAGAAGAAATCATGTTCCGTGAGTGCGACAAAAAGGGACTGAATTGTCTGGATTACGCCATCAACCACAGCCATGAGTAGGTATCAATCTGGCATACAATTGACTGCACATATAATTCGCGAAGAAACATATTTACAAAGGCTCAAAATTAAAAGGAAACATTAAAGACAACAAATGATCATTGGTAGATCATTCTAATAACTGTTCATGACCTCCTTTCATAATCGTTTTTTTACTGAAAAACAACCGCTACGTCACATTAGCTCTCAGCTATCAAATACACAGATCACAGTATTTTCAGTTATGATTGTTTGTAATGTAATAACAGTTTCAGTGAAAACGGTTGATTAATCTTATAATTAAAGTATCTCCCATCAAATTTGATTTTTGTTTTAAACATTTTTTCGTGAAGTGGTTGTGGGCTTATAATTTAATGTTGAAAGATAAGGTTTATAATTATCTTAACATAACTTTATTAATTGATCTGGAGAGTCGTAGCGATAGATCACTACAGTTCTGAAAAGATTATTATACACTTTATCAAGAATAAACCTTATTGTTATAACCAATCCATGAAAAGAGGTAAGAAAACATTATTCCAACTTCTTGGGCAAGAGTAGATATTTTATACTTGAAATCGCATCCTTGGAACCTTTTCACAAAGCCTTTTGTCAATGTGAAATGACAAATATCAGTGACAAATCTGCTAATAACTAATCAGAAGCAAGGATTTCATTAGCTTATAACAACTAAAATGTAATTTGTCACTTATAACAAGTTTTGTGAAATGGGGCCCTTGCTTTCGTTTGGTAGGATGGTAGCTGTGCAGTTGTTATCCCAGGAGAACTGGCGCACCCTCATGACCCACTCCACCAATGAGGGAGATACAAAGACCACGCCCATGAGAAAACTGATCGAATATATGCCAGGTATACAGGCTTACATCGAAGTATCGGGTCATCGCGTCGGGTCGGATGGTCGCGTTACCCGACCTTTTGTGAAACATGCCCCTTTATTCACGAATTTTCAGGGTAATGTTTGTGAAATAAATCCCTCTCATCTACAAATGGCCTGGTCCAAATTACGCGGCACTTTGTGAAAACCCTACGGCAAATCTACGAAAGGTCGCGCCCTCAACGTGCATCTTTACATTATATTCTGTTTACCTTTCTCGAAAGGTAGTGTAACACGACCACCCGACCGGACGGGATAACCCGATGATCCGAAGTAAGCCTAAGTTGTATAAACCATATAGCTCCGTTTAGTCTCATTTCACAACGCCCCTATCGTCAGCCATACATGTTAGCCTATGGAAGTGTACACACAAAATCGTTAAAAATTCATTTTTTGTTTAAACGAAAAGCACATCCACCCGGACTTACGTTATCACTTGCTCTTTCATTTGAACCCTCATGTCCCATTAACTTTTGAAAGTTCACCCACCGTAATTTGATCAAAATAGGTTGCAAGCTCGTCATTGCATATAGTACACATGTGAAACAAGTCGAACTTTGGACTCAGTTTGCCAAGCGATTTTAAGATTATAGGTCAAGCACACGAAGGATAAGAAGCATGAATTATCATAGATCACTTCTGCTTGGTTCATTATGTCCATTTCATCCAACCCCCCACCGTAATTTTTCCATTTAGTAAAAGCAAACATTTTGCCGAGTTTAGCAAAAACTTAAATATTCATGAACGGTCAGACAATACAGCCTTTTAGTACGTAACGTAACGTATAGTGAATGGGAATGGTCGATGATCCGTCCAGGAGGTAGAGGTCAGTGGTTTCTGCTGGCAATGTTCACGCGAGCGAAAATGAGACACTGAGCAATATGGATGTAAAGATCAATTTCAGTTATACCATTTGCGGCATGTCTGGTAGATTACGATCGGTGTTTCATTGGGGTTTCTTTATCCATCATCATCGTTTAAAGTCAATTTTCTTCCACTCTGTATCGTTGAATTTTCGCTCTTTTGATTGTCTTCCCCGTCTACCTGGGTTTTCCTGAATACTCATATCTTTTTCTTATTCAAAATTTCATTAATACGAATTTGGTTTATATTTAAAAATTTACATATCCGGAGGTTCATAATCGAAGGTTAAATATTCTGAATAATAAAAATAGTCCATGATTGCCAAAATGAAATGGGGTTCGTATTTCCGGAGGTTTGGCATTTCGTACACATTGAAGAGTCTTTAATATTGTAAGGAAGAAGAATCTTGAAATAATCCCCCTTCCTGTCATTTCATTTAGGCGTTTGCAAATTTGTACTTGACAAATGCATCACAAAACTACCAGCCAGCAGTAGCTCTGACAGGAACTGCACCAAGATCAGAGTTTACTATGAGCTCCTCGAGGACTGGTTCTCCGACTGGATGGAGGATACATCGATATGGCGTAAGAAAATATATTCCCGAAATTTAAACAATATGTATAATATATATACAGTGCGTCCCAGAAAAAACGAAACCGAGAATTATCGATGTTTTATCATAACTTAGTCACATTTATAATTAATAAATGACACATATTTGGAAAGCTTAGACCCGTCCTCTTTCATTTGATGCAACGCATATGATGCATATTTCACGCTTGGGTGATTAAAATCAATTTGAAGAGAGGAAACTGAAAGTTATTTGGCGGGCGGTATCTGAATTTCAAAGACAAAATCACATTTCTAGAAAGTTGAGTTTCTGCCCTTTCATATGACACCTCAATCAGCAAAACTGAGCAAGGAATTACAAAGTTCTGTTTGTTTAAAGTAGCCCTTACATTTTCATAATTTTAGCAAACGAATTCGTTTTCATTGGCTGCCTGCCGTAGCAAAAAGCAGAATTGACAAAAGACGTAACTCCGTTTCGTTGACAATCAGCCATGCATGAAGTCTTTCGTCTTTTTTGTGGGGGGGGGGGGTCGTCGTGTTTGCAAATTTTTCTTGGGCAAAAGCATCGCAAAATTACCAGACAGTAGTACCTCTCACAAGAACTGCACCAATACCAGAGTTTACTTCGAACTCCTTGAAGACTTGGTATCTTCGACTGGTTGGAGGATACATCACTATATGGAGTAAGGGAATCTATTTTTATATCGCTCTAGACTTTTTTGATGGGGGGGGGGGAGGGTGTTTTTCTTGGGAAAATACGTCACAAAACCAGCAGACCGCAGTAGTTCTGACAAGAACTGCACCAATACCAGAGTTTACTTTGTTCTCCTTGAAGATTTGGTTCTTCGACTGGATGGAAGATACATCACTATATGAAGTAAGAGTATCTATTCCTATATAAATCTAAGCTTTTTTTTTGGGGGGGGGGGAGGGGTCGATAAGTTTGCAACTTTTTCTTGGGAAAATGCATCGCAAAACTACAAGACAGCATTGCCTCTTACAAGAACTGCACCAAAATAAAAGATCCTGGAAGAATGCTTCCCCGACTGGATGGAAGATACATCACTAGATGGAGTAAGACAAAGTCGTTTTGTAGGAATGTAAAATGTCTATTTGTGTATCCAAACACCATATAGATACCACGAAATTCCATCGTTGATCTGACAATAAATATGAACCTTATAACCTTAGGAAATAATACCGCGTCATATTTGGCCTATAGGAAGAAGAATGACGCTTGATACGTTGGCCACACGTGGCTATGACATGATGCTACAGACTATCGGACATGCTGCCACAGGCGACAGTACCAACGGCAACGCCAGAGACGAAGAAGTAAGTTTTGATTTTCTTTCCTGAAGAGCACTTCTCTACAGATAGCCCATTTATCACATCAATTGAAGACTTTATTCCTCTTATTGAGATAAGCATATGTCTGTAAAGCGCTTAGAGAAATCGGATATATGAACCCAGTGGTTTTTCACAAAGAGCTCAAATCAAACTTCTCTCTAAGTTGGACTTATATAATATTGAGAGCCATTTGTAGCCTTAAAATAAAATGTTTTCAAAAGTGAAATTCAAGTATTTTAGACTTTTTATTAATTCCACATCAAGAACATGAAATCTCCTTGATAATAGAAAATATAAATGATTTGAATCAACATTTTATTCTTTTTAAAATAACTTTCACAAAATATTTTCATAGATATTTAATAACGGCTTTCCATAATTTTTAAGTCCGACTTAGAGACAAGTTCAACTTTAAAGATCTTTGTGAAAAACCCCTCAGATTATTATAAGTATTATTTTTCTTTTCTCTCTAGGTGCCTTCGAACTTTCTCCCTGATGGGAAGCTGAGGGACGGCGCCAGGATTTACGTCACCAACCCTGTATACCGCTCACATAACCATCCAGTCCGGCTCATGGTGAGAACAAATTCATCTTGTTCCCAAGAATTATTAAAGTTAAAGATAAATACCAATTTTGGAAACGCCCCCCTCTCAAAAATATGAAATGGAAGCTCTTATTACCAATTATGTGAAAGAATATCTTTTGACTAATACGTGATGATACAAATTTTGCCTTGGAAACCGCCTACTAATTGATATATTTGGTAAATTATCATATCTATTTGGACCTGATAGATATCGCGCACGTCTCGTTTAGTCCCATACACATCTTTCTGTGTAACTTTACCAAGACTGGGCCAAATTTCTTATCATTTTGGTGATTCCAGAACCTTGCAGTACACACCAATACTTATATGCTAGATTATCAACCTTTTCTGATCGATTCCTCAACGTTTTCTTTCACAATGCAATCACATGAACAGTAGTGGTCTTTATCTTTAACGTCATTGACAGTTTGACAAAGAAAACTTCCAATTACCCTTTTGTTGAAGATGAGCTCTTAAAAAATTGCAATGATAACAAGATTGTGGGAGGGTGGGAGACCAGACAAAGTAATTTTCTTTAATGCGCATATTACGCCTCTAGATATATCAACTTTTCATCTGACAGTCTGCCGCCCTGTAGGGCTTAAATGTGGCTAAACTTAGGTGCGGAATGTTACCCAACGATTAATTACCGAATCTTCTTATTAATTCAAGTCGGACTTTCTAGAGCATTCTATATATATTAAAGTTATTTTAATGAAATTTGATAATATAAGATATGGGTCTAGAAGACATTCAAATACTATCATTTAAACGACCTCGCACTTACTGTGAGTGGGTGGAGTGGGTGTTTTTTTAGGCGGGTATGTGTGTACTTGCAGGCGCGTACGCAGGGGGGGTGTTTGGGGGGTTAAACCCCCCCCCTTTGGTATTTTTATGTGTGTGAACCCCCCCTAAAAAATCCATAACCCCCCCCCCCCCCCCCCCCCCCCCCCCCCCCCCCCCCCCCCCCCCCCCCTTTGGATTTTTTTTTTTTTTTTTTTTTTTTAATTATTTAAAAAAATAAAAAATAAAAAAATAAAATTACCCCCATGGCTGACCTAAGAAAGGTGACCTTACCCCCCCCCAACGGAGCAAAATGTCAAATTTTCAAATTTCGAGACAAAAAAAAAAAAAAAGTGTCCTCTTACCCCCCCCCCCCCCCCCCCCCCCCGATTTTAAAACCCCCCCCCCCCTTGAAAAAATCCTGCGTACGCCACTGTGTACTTGTATGTGTGTATGTATGTGATGTAGAACTTAAAAACGGGTTATAAGTATAGACCGGGAGCCAGGGGGGTCAACCTAGCTGGGAAGGAAACCAATTTTCATGTGCACAGATGTAAAGATCGCATACCTTCACATAACAAATTGACCGTCTGGCATGTTCTAAGTGGTGGGTGTGGCCAGGGGGACGCCCCCAACCAAAAAAGTGGCCCTTTTGACGACAAAATAGTATTTTGTAAATAATATTTTAAGGAAACCTTGAACCACCATGAGTTTAGTGTCATATGAAAGAGAGTTAAATTATCTACATTTTGATACCAATTTTAAAGAATTTGGGATTAATTAACATCGCAAATTTAAGTAAAAAACATGATTTTTGTGTTTTTTTTTCAAAAAATTGAATTTTACCAAAAAACATTATTTTCCATATATCAAAATTGAAAAATTAATTTTTTTAATAACTTTCCAGGAATTTGCTTATGTACAACGACAATATCCTGTGCGAGGGAGAGGTTTATATATCATTTCAATAAAAAGTTATAGCAATCCAAAGTTATTGATTCGATTTCCACAAAAACAACATTTTTGCCCACATGTGTATTAACTGTATGCATATACGTGCATTAGTGTATTAAGGACCTGTTTGGTGTGTTTACATCGAGTTTTAAAGATAACTTTGAACTAAAACCTCTAATCACCATGTATTTGGTGTCAAAAGATGGATAATTAAAATACCTTCATTCTGATATCAATCTCAATGAGTGATGTAGTGTGTGAAATGTAAATTTTGAGCCAAAAAGGTGCTTTATTGTAGATATTCCTCTGATTTTGGCCAGTATATCGGTATATTAACTGGACAAAAGTGATAAGACATTTAGTAGTGCAGAAAGTTCTAAGGATTTGGAGCGCTGAGTGCAATTGATAAGTTCTTCTTCTGTTCTCTGGGATGTTTCAGGAAATGTGGACATAATTGGCAGTTGCCTCTCCCCTCCCCCACCCCCACCCCGCCCTTTCCAGCCGCTTGTCATAATCTTGCCCATGCCCAAGAAAATTAAGTTAGTGCATCGATTAACATGAATATAATATAATATTTCCATATTTGGTTTAATGGTTTATTTTGCCTGACTACTAAGAAAACACGTGTATGCTTGTAAGCAACCAATAATCCGCATAATTCCTATTGTAATTAGATTAGAATGACATAAACTTTTCTCATAAAACAGTTTCGGCTAGGTATGCGTAATTAAATACCTAAAGCCCCTGAGCTTCCGGGGGCTCCGCACCCTGGACCTCACCAAGGGCCCATTATAAGACTGGTCCCTGGATGCTCATCTCACCATAATTAAATGCCTTAAACGCTGAGCTTCAAGGGACACAGCCCCCTGGACCCTACTTCAATTTACGCTGCACTCGCTCCGCTCTACCTGATCGTTAATACTCCACTTTGAAAAACGTTCAGCGGGGCCGGCATGTAACGTGTAAGAGTGGTGGTGGTGCAGATTTTTCTTCTGCCCCCCAAGAACGTTTTTGCTCATTACACCACTGCCCCTGAAAGGTGAGCCCCCTGGAATGTTTGCCCCCTCCCCCCAATTCCGGCGCGCCTGGTGGGGGTGTCTGTCAGATGTCATTAAAATACCCCAACCTCAATATCGAGCTAGATCAGCTTTAAAGGAAACCCAAATGGAACCTATATGAACAGATTCGTCACAGGTCAAAGATACACAAATGGCCATTGCCAGACGATTTAAATGGTGGGGAGTGACTGCCATATAGATATAGATTGTTGAGAGAAACCTTGCTTGACTAATGTGAAAGGCAAATTGTACTTTAAACGTCCCTTTCCAGCACTCCTTCCTGATATGAATAAGATAAAAAAAAATAAGAGCTATATACCCTAGGCGCGGATCCAAGATTTCTTGGGGGGGGGGGCCAAATTTGAAATGATGCGAGCCAAATATTGGTACGTAATGGTGACACCGGCAGTGGCAAAAACGTTTGGGGGAGGGGGGAGGGGTAGATCAAAAACAAATCCCCATCACCCCACTCTTACATGCAGGCCCCGCTGAACGTTGGGGTGGGGGTCAAGGGGTGGAGCCCCCAGAAGCTCAGGGGTTTTGGGCAATACATTAAGGTCAGATGAGCATATTTTGATACCTTATTTGTGACACTGGCAGGTCACGAATTGGTGTGGGGTTCCAGGGGGCGGAGCCCCCGGAAGCATAGGGGTTTTGGGCAATAAATTACGGTCAGATGAGCATATTTTGATACCTTATTTGTGACACTGGCAGGACGCAAATGAGTGTGGGGTCCAAGGGGCGGAGCCTACAGAAGCTCAGGGGTTTTATACATTAAATTACCGTCAGATGAGCAAATTTTGATACTTTATTTGTGACACTGGCAGGACATTAATTGGCGTGAGGTCCAGGGGGCGGAGACCCCAGAAGCTCAGGGGTTTTAAGCATTGAATTACCGTCAGATGAGCATCCAGGTGCCAGCTATAGGGCACCAGGCGAAATCCAGGGTGCAGAGCCCCTGGAAGCTCTGGGGTTTTTATGCATTTATTCACGGTCAGATGAGCAAATTTTAACCAAATATGGCAATATTATATTATATTCATGTTGATCGATGCACTAACTTATCTTGGGCATGGGCAAGATTATGACAAGCGGCTGGAAGGGGGCGGGGTGCCGGGTTGGGGGAGGGGAGAGGCAACTGCCAATGTCCACATTTCCTTAAACATCCCAGTACAGTACAGAAGAAGAACCTTATCAATTGCACTCAGCGCTCCAAATCCTTTGAACTTTCTACACTACTAAATGTCTTATCACTTTTATCATGTCCCATTTGCAGGCCAAACAAATGAAAAAGTTGAATTCCAACTGCATTTGAAAGATAATACTAATTTAGAACTTCCCTAACAAAGGTGGGGCTTGAAAATGACTTCTAGTGGGAAAATAACGACTATTAGTTGTCAAATCGACTTTAGGGCTATAGAGCCCAAAAGTAATAGTCTTGATTTTCAGACAATTGTACCGAATATGGTCATACGTTTTATGCTGCGCAAAGAATCAATCAGTTTAATCTTGGCAATTACAAGAAGTGGCTTATTGATGTAGACAAATGCTCATGTACCCTTTACAACTCTTTTCATGTATGTTATTACCAAAGAAGAAAAAAGCCAGTCAGTCACTCAATAGTGTCTGACAGTAAAGTCTAGCAAGTAAACGGGTTTCCTTGCATAATTTGAATATGAGGACACTGCTAACGTTTAAATTTCACAGATAGGACACACATGACATATTCATAATTCCTGCAAAGTTCTACAGAATTTAATGTTGGCTGCAAAAGGGACATAGTACCTTTAATATACTGATATACTGGCCAAAATCAGAGGAATATCTACAATAAAGCACATTTTTGGCTCAAAATTTACATTTCACACACTACATCACTCATTGAAATTGATATCAGAATGAAGGTATTTTAATTATCCATCTTTTGACACCAAATACATGGTGATTAGAGGTTTTAGTTCAAAGTTATCTTTAAAACTCGATGTAAACACACCAAACAGGTCCTTAATACACTAATGCACGTATATGCATACAGTTAATACACATGTGGGCAAAAATGTTGTTTTTGTGGAAATCAAATCAATAACTTTGGATTGCTATAACTTTTTATTGAAATGATATATAAACCTCTCCCTCGCACAGGATATTGTCGTTGTACATAAGCAAATTCCTGGAAAGTTATTAAAAAAATTAATTTTTCAATTTTGATATATGGAAAATAATGTTTTTTGGTAAAATTCAATTTTTTGAAAAAAAAACACAAAAATCATGTTTTTTACTTAAATTTGCGATGTTAATTAATCCCAAATTCTTTAAAATTGGTATCAAAATGTAGATAATTTAACTCTCTTTCATATGACACTAAACTCATGGTGGTTCAAGGTTTCCTTAAAATATTATTTACAAAATACTATTTTGTCGTCAAAAGGGCCACTTTTTTGGTTGGGGGCGTCCCCCTGGCCACACCCACCACTTAGAACATGCCAGACGGTCAATTTGTTATGTGAAGGTATGCGATCTTTACATCTGTGCACATGAAAATTGGTTTCCTTCCCAGCTAGGTTGACCCCCCTGGCTCCTGTACTAGTATATATAAGTATATATTTTTGCAATGAAATATTGGATATATAGATGCAGTAGTAGTAGTGAATAGAGCTTTCGATTTAGGCACCCGACGTCGGTTACTACGAGGTACTGGAGCGTGGAGACGTTGCGCAGCTCACGTCCGTTCCCTTCGCAGTAGTGCTTTCGATTTTTCACGTCGGTGCTGTCGTCGGTCACGTGACGAATTTTTTAAGATCAGGTGATTAATCAGGTAATAAATTCACAGGGCACGAAAATCTGATACAAAGAATAACATGAGGATGACAGAAATAGTGAGTTAAAATGATTTTTTTTTTAAATAACATAAGAAAAGGTGATAGAAGAATAAACAAAGGATAGGAAGAGAAAATAATAAAAACAAAGAATAACATAAAAGAAAGTGATAGAAAGAAGAAACAAAGAATAACATAAGGAAACACAGAAAGAGAAAGTGATAGAAGGAAGAAACAAATAATAACATAAGGAAAGGTAGAAAGAGGAAGTAATATAATGATAAAAACAAAGAATAACATAAAAGAAGGTGATAGAAAGAAGAAACAAAGAATAACATAAGGAAACACAGAAAGAGAAGGTGATAGAAGGAAGAAACAAATAATAACATAAGGAGAGACAGAAAGGGAAATGGATAAAATGATATAACAAAGATTGAAACAAAATATATCAAGAGGATATAATAGAATAATAAAAACAAAGAATAACATTTTAAAAAGGTGATGAAACTACACTCACGTTGACGTTTTCACAGCGACGGCGATTCACGGAAATTGCCACCGACTCCCGTCGGGTGATTTAGAAGGGAACGTGGGCCCAGAAGCTCACGCATGCGCAGGGGATAAATATGACGTCACGCGTAGTAGCCGATGTCGGGTGCCTAAAATCGAAAGCTCGCTAGTAGTGTGTTTGGTTGGATGGGGTTATTTGTTCTATGTTACAACTGATTTCATTTTTTTCATCAATTGTACAATCTATTTAATGAAAATGTTTTGAATTCATGTCAAGAAAAAACAACTGTATTTTATTTCTAAAATTAATTTGTATTGTTTGGAATCAATAAAAAAAAAATATTGAAAAAAAATATATATATAAGTAAGTATAAATAGATACAAGTAATGGAGCAAATATGGATACCTTAATATCTAGATACACGTAATTAGCTTGAATGATGTATAATACATATAATATATATCTGTAATCTGTAATCTGCAAAGCGTTTCGGCACATCGTTGTCTCGATGTATTGGGCGCTATATAAAAGCGGAATGTTATTACTTTTATTACACCGTATTACATTTTATTTTATAAAATAAAGGTAGCAACTAAATTATTTATAACCTTACCAACTTTTGCAATTGTTCAGCTATGTGAAAATTTGATTTGTCCCGATTTATGTTTTCTTGAGAATGTAGCATTTCAAAGCTTACATCTAAAATAGTACAACAAAGGCCCTAATTCAATCCGCTCGACTTCATTCTTGAGTTACGAGAAACACAAAAACTTCAAATTTCAAAAGGGGTAAAAGATTATAATGTTGTTAAATGTAATTGCATCGTCGATGGTTGAAACAGCTCATTTTACATGTAAGCATCTCATTTCAGATAAAAACGGATGAGAGCAAGGAATTGCTGAACCACCCTGTACTACGTTTGTTTTTTCTACAAAAGCACAAAGCCACACGTCTTACCTACTGGGTGAGTTTCTTCCTCCTCCTCGCTCTCTTGATACTCGTCACCGGACATAGCCTCGTCATCCCTCCACCCTTCTACATCCGGGTCAGCCCTGAAGGCAGCAACTACACTTGGTTGGCGGACGGTCAGACCAAATGGCAGGAGAACCTGAATCCCGTTGCTCTGGTGCTGTTTGGAAAAGTTGGGGCCTGGATCATCCTGGTGCTCACTGTCATCTACTTCATCGAATTTGTAAGAAAATAATCATCAAGGATCCATGAATGTCAGTATGATTATAATAATATAGAAATTATTCACAGCAGTGAGGGCATTTAAGATTTACCCACACGAGGTACCTTTGGAACAGTCTAACACGCCCGAGGCGATAGCCGAGGGTGTTGGACTGTTTTGAAGATTCCGAGTGTGGGTAATTTTACTAATGCCCGAACAAAATGATGTGTATTATTTGTTTTATAAGATTATGTTTTATTTGTTTTATAAAATTATGTTTTATAACATGATTTTGATAATGACCTGTCATTACAATTGGGTAATGAGCGGTCACTATCCAAATTACGCGTTAGGCAAAGTAAATACCTGGTCACGTGTACGCTTTCAACCAATCATTTGATTAGCATCCATGTCATCATCTTATAATATGTCTTGTTTACCAAGGGTAGCCTCATTAGTATTAATACTGTTCTCTCTGAGGGCCCTGCAATCATATCATTACCCCGACTTAAGCCGAGCTACCATGACAAGGCGCTCAAGCTCGTGAGGAATTTCTTCCTACCGGGTACTTTTATTTAGTACATCACCTGTGTGGAGTGTGGCAAATGTGGACTAATGTTTCGCCAAAAGTCATTAGTGATTATGTATTCTATATTAACGTTACATGATAACCCTCCAATATGTTGTAGGACCTGAGGTAACATTCAGCTAATTCTCGTGTACTAATCTTCTATGCTTTACCGCATCGCGTAAGAGGCTTGCTTTTCAGCTCAAACCAGATAGGCTTTTTAAAAATTATCTAAAGTTCATAATTCTTGTAAAATGGTTTAAATCAACATGTAGTTTTCAGTCTCTTCCTGAAATTGTCTGCCTTTATTGAAAGCAATTATCGAATCTACTCTTATTTTCCTTCTATAACTAAAAATCTAACCAACAACAAAAAGATTATTGGCTTTTATATTTGGAGATATTTGTAAGTTTGTGGAGAGGTGTGTGGTCTAGTGGATAAGTCAACCGACTGTAGACCACAAGGAAAATGTGGTATGGTAAAAGCCGGTCACTCGAAGATTTTTACTTTATTGAGGCTCTTCATGATCATTTTGAAGCGCAATTCTTTCAGGGCTTCAATAATACACCAAATCACAGACGCTGATAACACGTATATAGGGCCATGCTTCTCAGATTTAGCATTGTTAAACAATGCCTTTAAGCGGTATATAAAAACGGAATATCATTATTATTATTATTTTGGTGTGTTTTGTTCAGCTATATCGCACATGGATGTACAGACACTCGAAGTACAACTCCATCAATGGAATCATGAGTATATTTCGAGAGATTGGTATCCAGATCTTCACCGTCCTCTACGTATTCCCAGGGTTTAATGATGTCATCTACGGCTATGGTGTACACTTCAAAGCCGTGAGTAGCCCGTATGATTCGGCCCTGTTTCATAAAACGTGTTACCAATAACAATAACTTCTATAACAAATTCGGTCTCTGTCAATGAGTTGCCATGATTTTGGTAGCTTATAACAGTTGTCGTAGCTTGTTATTGATATCGAGTTTTAAGAGACAGTGACCAGGATGTGATACAATTTATATCCTCAGTCTAATTGTTAACAGAATTTGTATGATATATATGCACCCTTTATGATATTTTTCGGGAGATCGTTCAGGGGAGCGGCCGGTTGACGAATCAGTCATAAGGACAAGTTCGCCAACAGCCCATATTGAAGCCTGTGTTAATTATTTGTTTGATAAACCTATTTCAATGGGATATCGGTAAGCTTGTACTCATTACTGTACCCTTTTTTTTCCTCTTCATCTTGCACTGGCTTAATGATCTCGTTAATGGTGTACACTTCGAAGCCATGATTATGTTGCTAAGAGCTCTGGTAGAGAATACCAGCATCATCGATATAGATGGAAAACATCTTCGTTGCTGGCATGGACGGGCGCCGGCTAGATTGTAATGAAAAGAAAGGCATATTTACCCCCGCTCCCGCCCCCTCCTCTTTTCAATGATCCTCCCTTAATCTTATGTTCCATTTTGTGTTTTAGGATTGGCAATGGCAGCTCGGTGCATTCGCAGTGTTCCTGGTATGGTTTAACTTCATCCTCTTCCTTCAGACGGTTCCATTCTTCGGCATTTACGTCCTCATGTTTCTAGGTGAAAATTAACCTTATGTATGTTTTTTTTAATTTTATTATTATTTTTTTTTTCATAAAAAGATTACAAAAAACAGTAAAATGCAGATCAAAACCTCATGAAAAGTAAATTTACACTAAGATGCAGACAATTACATGCACATGTACCGATACAACATTATAAAACAGCATTATAAAACAAACTTCCATTTTTGTCTCGCCTGCGTAGCAAAAAGCGAGACATAGGCGCCGCTTATCTGGTGACGGCGGCAGGGGTCATGGATGCAGAAATATTGACGCCCGATAAACTTTGTGTTACTATTCTTGTTTCTTTTTTGCGACAGAGGTGTTGTCTACTCTTCTAAACTTCATATTTCTTGCCGGCATCTTTCTTCTGGCCTTTGCAGTCGTTTTCTGCATTCTTCTCTTGAACCAGGTATTTATTTTAGACAATTTGTTAAAGATATTTTGACTGTTGAAACTTTCAGGTACAGAAAAGGTCTTTTCAAATCTAAGTTGAGGTGTTGTGGACTAGTGGATAAGTCACCCGACTGCAGATCACAAGGTACGGGGTTCAAGTCCCGCCGCAGCACTGATGTCATTTAGCAAGACGTTAATCTACATTTGCCACTCTCCATCCAGGTGTAAATGGGTACCTGATATGCTTGAGCGCTAGTTACTTTGGCAGCTCGGCTACGACCAGGGTAATATGTGTAAAGCGCCATGAGCGTCAGCACCTGGTGGATACTGGCGCTATATAAATAACCATATAATTATTATTATTGGAAATTATATGGAAATTCGGATTTCTTTATGGCAGAGACTAGGTTTGTATCGATCGTTTTAATGTCATTTTGTATTATAGGAGCTTCCTATCTATCGGTTGGTAGTCTCACAGGGCTGGCTCATAGGTCCAATGCTTTTCATTTGTTTCCTTCTATCTAGGCACCTTTTCACACTTTGGGGGACTCCCTATCCAAAGCTCTAGCAATGATGACAGGAGAGATCGAGTTGAGTGCTGTTTTCCATATTCTTGACTACTCGTACATGCCAGATCCGTCGGTAGACTTCACGAGTTTAGTCTTCTACCCAGTCTCTACGCACATCATCTATGTCATCTTTATCATCTTCATGCCCATACTCATCATGAATCTCCTGGTAAGGAGTCTAACAGAAACATTTTTCTTTCTTTTCGTGTTTTCTTATGTCATATCATGCTTGTCGTTGCTCAGCTGTTGAAGTTCGACTGATTGCTATTCAAACTCCATTGAACAAGCAATATGAAAATAATGAAGTTTAGTTATTATTTTTACTCTGCCTAGCAGAGCCGGGGTAATAGTTTGAGCGCCTTGAGCACCATGCAGGATGGATATGTGCACTATATAAATATAAGTATTGATATTAGTGTTATATTTCATTCTTCATATCAATACACCAGTAGGTTCTTTTTTCGATTGATTGTATTATCGTAACCATTCTGACTTGTTTTATATATTCCTATTGCTTTCTGACCTGTATATTATAATGGGAAAAATAATTTAAAAAAGGGTAGAAATTTGATAGAATCCTCCTTCTGTTCGTTGAAAAAGTGTCATGCAACTAAATGAAAGTACGTGTACTTGGTACAAAGTACATACATTTCTCTTTTAAGGCAAGTTTTTGGATAAAATTACTTTATACATGCATCTATTTCCATTTTAAGCTCCTCAAATCAATCGTCTTTAGTTTCTGCTTCTTCCTTACTGCTTAGACTGGTTTGGCGGTGTACGACATCGAAGTCATTCAGACGAAAGCAAAGATGCATAAACAGACACTAGAGGTACATTCAGTTGTTAAAAATATATCAACGGTTTTCTAATCAATTGTGTTGATCTGAGGAGTACATTGTCTTTATTTTCTCTTATTTATATGTCTGTGCGGCTGGCTTTTTTTTTTTTTATTGTGCGTATGAATGCAGTTTATGTTCTGCGATAAATGCATCTCTTGTACTTTTCGCAAATTGGATTGCGTTCTGAATGTGAATAACCAAAAACGGCCTAAAAAAAAACTCCATCCGGCAGGCGGAGAGCGATAACTTGTTCACACACACACACACAAAAAAAAAAAGAAGAAAAAAAGGTTAGTGTCACACTCTTCTTCAATGGCCATATGTGACAGATGTTTAAAATCAAATCCGTTTCTGATGCAGACACACATAAGGTGGTCTGCACCCGGCCAGACGGATTTCAACTAACCTGTTTCTTGAATAATGCGTCTATGTTTTTGCTTCAAAACCTTTATTATAAATACATTTCTATTTTACGTTTAGGCCAAGGGAACTCTCGACTTCCAGAACAACATGTTCCTGTTCCTCTGGAAGGCCAGTGTAGTCAGGGACCAGGTCATACCAGTCTGGACCAAGATCTCGCCCATATACAAGCTGGTCTACAAAGTAACAGGATATAAGGAGACTTATGATCAGCTGGTCACGTTCCTAGAGGACCTCGACAAGACGGTAAGACTAGAGAGACTAGACCAGAGATTGGGCGCTTATTAATGGCTTGGATAATCTTACTTTATCCTTATTATGTTATGTTTTTATCATGGAGGTACCTTTAGGTCACATCCCTATAGAGGACATCGAAAAAGGCCTGAATAATTTGTTCTATCCAAAGGCTGCGAAAATATCCTGCTTTCTTGTAATGTTTTGTATTTTATCGTGAAGGTATACCCTTTTGATGTTATTCATGCCAACTATAGTCACATCATTCACATGTAAACATGCGTGTCATGTACAATTGTATTTCTTATAAATGTGTCAATTAGATTAATAAACCATTATTGAGTTAAATTGAAATTGTAAACAGATGATTCTCTGTTGTTGATGTTGACAGCCAAATCTTGATAATAGAAGTAATACCAATAAATTGACCTGATGAACATGTCATAAAAACGAGGCCCAACATCATTTTAAAGGTAAAGACCAGTTTTGGAAACGCCCCCCGTCTCGAAAAATGAAATGAAAGCTCTTATCACCAATCAATAATGTCTAAGTATATGTATGAAAGATATCGCGCACGTGTCGCGTAGTGCCATATACATCCTTCTGTGTATAGTGATTGTAACTTTACCTCGGCCAAATTTCTTATCATTTTGATGATTCCAGAACCTTGCCTTAACCCATGCTAGATGATCGATTCCACAACGTTTCTGTCACAATGCAATCGCATGACCATAACTGGTCTTTATCTTTAATCTTTGTTTCAGGGTTGTGTCGAGTTCACCAAGACAACTGAAATGAAACTAGAGGGTATGGCAGAGAACATTACTGATATAGCCAACAGGCTGACTGTGCTCTCGGAGAACGCCGTTGATGAAAAGACTCGGCATATAGAAGCGATGGGTGGTATTCAGGCGCTGAAGCAGCAAGTGCAGGCTTTGCATAATAAGTTGTAGATGGACGTCGAGAAAATAATCACAACCAAGAAAGAATCGCCATAACGACGCCACCAAGAGACTGGCTGTGCTCTAGGAGAAAGCCGTTGATGAGAAGACTCGTCATCTGAAAGCGATGGGTGGTATTCAGGTGCTGAGGCAACAACTGCAGACTTTGCACGTTGCACATGGATTTCGAGATGATATCCCGAGCACAAAGAATCATCAAAGATACACCAGGGGGGAGATTCACAAAACTTGTGATCAGTGACAAATGACAGTTTTTGTTATAAGCTACTGAAATCCTTGCTTCTGATTGGTTATCAACAGATTTGTTACTGATTTTGGTCATTTGTCATTGAAACGGGTCCCAGCAAAATACTAAGTGTTACTCTGGGAGAACGCCGTTGATGTGGCATCTGGAAGCTTTGCGTAGCTTTTGGGGTTGATGCATCACATACAGGATTTGCAGTTGTAGGTGAATGTCGATATAATGTCACAAGCACCAAAGAATGTGCTCTAATATAGCTTAGTTACTACGACATGGCAGAACAGTCAAAGCGTGTTTCTGATATCAAGAACAAACTGAATATACAATCAAACCTGTCTACAACGACCGCCCAAGGGAAACACAAAAAGAGGTCTTTGTAGACAGGTTTCTTTAGTACATGTTTAAATGAGAAACCATTTTCAAGGGAAACAAAAAAAATGTTCTTGTTGTAGACAGGTGGTCACTAAAACAGGTTTACTATACTGTCATTACGCAAAATGTCTAAGTAATTGGAAGCAGTAAAATTACCCTAAAGGCGTGCTTTGTAGGACAATTTCGATAAAATAAATGACAATGTCAGAAAAAGCCACATTTAAAAAATGTGTTCAACTTTTTACCAGAATCATAGGGCAAATTCATAAAGAAAAATAAATCCTAGGGACAATCTTCAAAAAAGAAAATGTCGTTTATCTCAAATAATTGTGTTTCATATGAGTGAGTTTCTTTTGCCAGTTTGTAACGTAACAACAATACCATTAGTATTACTGCTACTATCACTCTCATTATTCTCTTTCGTTTTCTTCATATCATTATAAATAGTATTCAAAAAGTATTATTAATTTTATTTATTTATTCATTATTGACCCTTTTACCAGAACTCAATCTATTCTTTAATCCGAAGCCTGAAATTGTTGATATCCATGCTTTAGAAATGCATTGTGTATCTGTATTTTTCTGACCAAAGAGTATTTCAAAATCTTAAAGTTTTTAATTCTGCAACTATTTTCTTATACGGCTTTGATAACAAGTTAGTAATCTGTACATTTATCATGGTAGTACTAATCAGTGTTTGACTTTAAAAGTGTTTGTAAATCAATGGCTATCAACGTTCAGGTTTGACTTTATTGTGATTTGTGCCATTTTTATATCAGTATTTTTCTGACCAACGATAATTCCTAAAGCCTGGATTGATAATCTATATTATATCCAAATTGTGTAGTAATATTGTGTTTTCTTCCTGCTAGTGGTTTTGACAAATTTTCTCGGAACGATGGGCCTTTTTCCCCTTAAGCGGGACTGCACTAATTGTAGCTTCTTGCGCCCTCTATATAGCAAACAATGCCTAAGAGGTACCCGTTGGTCCCCCATGGTCCCCTTTTTCTTAAAAACATTTTTAATGAAACGACATTTTTGTACAAATATCGCGACTTTATTAAGATTTAGACATTTTCAAAGCAACTTCAAACGTAGTGTAGTACTCGAAATGACAGAAAAAGAGAAAGGTAAATAATTACTTCTCATCTTCACCAAAAGTCAACCTTAATTTCAAGAACAAATGTACCGTCTTTGGATATGCAAAATAATGAAAATTAGCTCTTTTAGAAGGCGTGTTAGGGCCATGGGCGTCAATCCTGGGGGGGGGGACGGGGGGACACGTCCCCCCCACGAATTTTCAGGACGTGAAATGTCCCCCCCCCCCCCCCATGATTTGGGGTTTAAAAAAAAAAAAATCTTCCTTTCTCTCTTTCTCTCTGTGTTGAGAAAAATCAAGCCAAATCAGGCGATCATATTTTATTAATAGAAGCGTCATTAATATTACATTCACATTACCGGAAGTTCAAAAATTGGTTTACGATGAAAATCCTTTCACCATCTAAACAAAAAATCAAGTTAATCCCTTGTACCTTCCAAACCTTATGGCTGATTGTTCAATAGAAACGACAAATTCATCTATCTACCCCCCCCCCCTTGCATTCTTGTTCCTGTTAGTTGAACTTAAGACTGTTTTATTTTTAATTTGGCAAAAATTATGCCCCAAATCAAGCCATCTTTCCATCAATTTAAAAAAAAATCTTCAACTTCTGAGGGGGGCACACCCCCTAGGTTCTACTGTTTTCTTTTAAATTTGGCAAATAAATGCACCAAATCGAGCCATCTATCCATTAATTTCAAACAAATCTTCAACTTCTGAGGGGGGCATACCCCCCCCCCCCCCTCAGACACCCCCTGCGTTCTACTGTTTTTCTTTTTAATTTCGCAAATAGTATGCACCAAATTAAGCCATTTATACATCAATTTAAAACAAAATCTTCAACTTCTGAGGGGGGCACATCCCCTTCAGACACCCCCTGCGTTCTTGTTCCTTGTTAGTTGAACTTAAGACTGTTTTCTTTTTAAATTTTGCAAAAAGAATGCACCAAATTTAGCCATCTATCCATCAATTTCAAAAAAAATCTTCAAATTCTGAGGGGGGCACATCCCCCCTCAGACACCCCCTGCGTTCTACTCTTTTTGTTTTTTTAATTTGGCAAAAAGAATGCACCAAATTGAGCCATCTATCCATCAATTTCAAAAAAATCTTCAACTTCTGATGGGGGGCACATCCCCCCTCAGACACCCGCTGCCGCTCTACTCTTTTTCTTTTTAAATTTGGCAAAAAGAATGCACCAAATTGAGCCATCTATCCATCAATTTCAAAAAAATCTTCAACTTCTGAGGGGGGCACATCCCCCCTCACACACCCCCTGCGTTCTACTTTTTTTCTTTTTAAATTTGGCAAAAAGAATGCACCAAATTGAGCCATCTATCCATCAATTTCAAAAAAATCTTCAACTTCTGAAGGGGGCACATCCCCCCTCAGACACCCCCTGCGTTCTACTGTTTTTCTTTTTAATTTGGCAAAAAGTATGCCCCAAATCTATCAAATAAAAAAAAGAAAATCAACTTCTGAGGGGGGCACATCCCCCTCAGACACCCCCTGCATTCTTTTTCATGTTAGTTGAACTAAAGACTGTTTTCTTTTTAATTTGGCAAAAAATATGCACCAAAGCGAACCATTTAAGCATCAATTTCAAAAAAAATCTTCAGACACCCCCCCCCCTGCATGGCGCGCCCATTCGCCACCCTAACAAAATAACCTGGTGCCGCCCTGTCTGAACTTGTGTCCCCCCCCCCCCCACGGTCTAATTTGGATTGACGCCCATGGTTAGGGCCAGAAATTATTTCGTTCATGGAGGTGCACCAATCCACTCCAACAATATTGTGGAAGTTGCCAATTTCGTAGCGCTTTATATTACTCTTCAGAGAGTCGAGTCCGCTATTTTGTGCGTGAATTTCCACTCGAGAACGAATGATCGCTGAATATGATTTAAGGGTCGTCTGAAAACTCGTTCACTCCCTTCCAGTGATCATATATAATTCAATTTGATGCGTTTTTAATAGTGTAGAGTTTCCAATTAATGTTGCTTTATTAAATTCTGCTCTGATATGTATCCTACTACATGTGCACTTACTTACTTCGTGCATTTCTCTTTATTGATACTTTTTAAGGACCTGTAATTAAATGTACGCTGGTAATTTGAAAATGTGTTACTTGTTTACTTATTTTTTTATATATTTTGCATTTTCCTAATTATATGTAGTATGATATATCTATCATTATAATAAACATTTCCATATTCCCTATCGTTAAGTATCGTTAAGGAAAATCATATCAATATTCGATACTACTACGTAAGACGCATAGAGACGTAATGAGTACTGTGCGTAATTATACTGTATGAGTATATTTATCTTGAAAGCCATATTTTTAACACAAGCACTACCTTTCTATAAAGGGACGCTACTGCAAAATAGTGTCCCTTTATTCTACTGCAAAATCCCCTCTAGTGCCATCTCGGGTCATCTTCATAGTTCCTGGGTCTCAATATTACCTTCCAATAATAACAAATGCAATATAAATATATGTTTTTAAATGATAACAAATGCAATATAAATATATTTTAGGCAAAGTGAATAGAGAAGGGTTAAGGGGAGGGAATCATATGCTTAGTATAAAAGGGAGTTGAAGACGATTTTAAGTATATAGCCGTCATGAAGTGACTTTGTAAATGCTTTAGTTTTTTCTCGCATATTAAATTGGCATTGCAGAAAAGGAGAGAACAACTAGAAAGGAAGAAACAAACAAACTCACTAATAAACAAACAAATTGAGAAAGATAGAAAGAAAGCAAGAATGAAACAATATTGAAAAAAGGAGAGAAAGATAGAAATGAAGGAAAAGAGGTATCTTTTGCCTTTGGCAAGCTCTGTATCCCGTACAAAAGTGGTTCACGCATATAGCGCATGCGCAGTAGCTTTGTAAGGTAATATTGAGACCCAGGAATTATCCTCTACCAGTATTACTTTCTCACAGAACTGAAAATTAGACGTATATATCCAGCTTTGTTGTATGAGTCAATGAATCCTCTGTCTGCGAATAGGTTTTTTTTTGTTTTCAATGATATTTTATTTTCTGCTTTTCACAAACAAGAACAAAATTTATAATAACAAACAATAACAAAATCAATACATAAAATAATCTGCATGTTCATATTATTCCATAGAATATGATTTTACATTCACAGCTAAATAATACAAAAGAACTTTTACTATTTACATCGATACTTACACCAATGTTCAAGACACTCCTATAATGTTTTAAACAAAAGATGGCGCTAGACCGCATTTGACAAGTTTTTTTCCTTTTCTTCCTTTCCCCAATAATATTTCATTTTCTCCATTGCTTTTCACAAACAATAACAAAATCAATACATAAAAAAAATCTGCATGTTAATATTATTATATAGAATATGATTTTACATTCACATCTAAATAATACAAATGAACTTTTGCTATTTACATCAAATAAAGGATGAAACATGCATGCATGAAAAAGGCATGAACATAAAAAGACATTTAAGAGAAGAAAAAAAAATGAAAAAATGAAAAATACTTACATACACACATACACACACGTGCACAGACACCCACTTAAAACATGCCTACATTTTGTGGGAATCTCGACCATTATATCAGCCATGTCCATTCCATTGCTTCTATTCGCTTTCCTTATTTTATCTATTCTGCACGAAGCTATTCTAAATTGTCCCACTTTCTAAAATGATATGTGAGTGTACCTCGGTCCCCAGCTAATTTCTTCTCCTCCTTTCTATTTGGGGTACACTACTCGCAAGTTGGCCACTAGATGGCGCTCTGCAAAGGGACACTAAACAGGACATTAGGGACTTTTAGATTTGCGTGGATTGATACGTGAACATGACGTCCATTCAAGGCAGTGCATTAAAAAGACGTCGATCGTAGCAATCCACATTGTCTTCGTGCAAATCTAAAAGTCCCTATTGTCGTTTGGAACTTGTTTCATGCACAGTTAATTGGGATATTAATATATAGGTTGAATTCACACATCGATTGTTGTGTATATTTTCAGTTTTCTTTTACGGATAAGTGATTTTTCTTATATGGAGTATATATTCAATACTGAATGAACGCCATAAAACAACAACCAGCAACAACAACAACAACGATGGTTAAAAAAACACTCATTATTAAATCCATGTCGCTAATTGGGAACCGTTGACATTTTTTCGACAACTTAACTCATAGAGTGGCCAGTGGACGTATATGCAATACAACATCTTTTTTTTTTTTAAGTGCCTAACCAGGAATATTTACGCATGCAAGATGGGTTATGATGGTGATGATGATGATGATCGAGGGGGGGGAGGGATACGATGCCATGCTTACTAACATTAATAATAACTTATGATCATCGTGTTGATAAGCATAATGGTGAATGATAGTGATAACCAGTGGCGGATCTAACCAGCGGTGAGAAGGGGGGGGGGGGTGGCTCGATTCGTGAGAAAAAAAATTAGCAGCGAATAAGCCGAATTGTGGTTTCAATCTTCTTCTTTTTCTTTTTTTTTGGGGGGGGGGCAAAGGGTTGGGGGCCCGTTTTTTAAACTTTTTTTGCCAGGGGGGATGGGCCCGTCGCCCCCCCCCCCCGTAGATCCACGCCTGGCGATAACGATTATGACGATGATAATAACAATGATAATGACGGTGATAACGATGATGATGATGATTTAAACATAATGTTTAAAGACGGTTTTACAACAGTTTTTGTTTGATATGGTAAAAATTATGAGGTCAAACATAAATCTGAAGATAATGATGCTAATGATGATGGTAATAGGCCTATAGAATAAGATTAAGAATTAAATATACAAAACCTTTCAATAGATAACATAAATGTGCGGTCAAAGTAATTTATATAGGCCTTAATGCAGAATATAACCGGGGGGGGGTGAATTAAGAAAAAAAAATGTATGCAAAGACCAAAATATTCAGCTAGGGAAAACAAACAAGCGATGAAAAAAATAAGCAAACCAAATTTAAAAAAAATGGGCCTAATAAATGATAGTACAATAGTAGGCCTAATAAATGATAGTACGATAGTATATAGGCCTAATTATATTGCTAGTATACTACTAACATTATACGACATGTAATACTTCTAGGCCTACTGACTACTAATAATGGTGATGATGGTGATGATAATAATTAAAAAATAATAACAATACAAAATAATATCATCAATAATAAAAAAAAATAACTATAATATTGAATGGCCCAGTTATAGGAGGAATAATAGAGCAATATTACAAAAATGAGGAAGGAGTAGAATCTAGCCTACAAAGTGGTAATGAGGAGATAATTGTATTATTTTTCAGTGACCTTTAGGGATTTCACAGAAGATTTTAGCTGTTAATCCTGCGCCTTATTCGTAGCAGAAGATTTCTGTTCATACGTGAGTACATGTAATGGTTGCAAGTATAATATATACAGTATATAGTTCTTTGAATTATGAATCATAGTATTCGTATCCCACAATACAATACGTATCACTATTACATCCGGGACATCGACATTTGTCATATCTGCGCATGCGCTGTTTGCGCAATTCATCTGAAACGAATCTGTGTATTTCCCTGCGATCATCACGGAGAATTTAGTTGTAAGTACCACTAACTCTATCCCCTTTGTAAACCTGTTTATCGATTCCTAATAATATATTGACCAAATCATATTTCCGATGTATAAGATTTCGGGAGTCATTGAATTATCGATTTTAGTGGAAGCTCTAATGGAGAAAATTACTTGCGAAAACGGTGTTGCACAGTTTATTTTGGGCGTCCCTCCATTGAGTTTACATGTAGCGCATATTGTTTGCCTGAATGAATGAGTCAATACGTTTTGTAGTTTGTACGCAATCCCATTTGCTGTTGAATTGCATGCCAGTGTTGGATGACTGATGAAGTAAAGTTAACCCAACAAGTTACATATGTGACGGTCGTTAAACCTCCCTTCCTAATAGTGAATAAACAAGGACTTAGTTTGGCCTAGGCAGTTTTATATGGATGCCCTATCTTGATCTTGGTGAGCAACACAATAATAAATGGCCAATTCCTGAAATGAACTGTCATTCACTCATTCAAGTCATTAAATTTTAGTGTCAGTTGTGCAGATGAAACGATGATGCCTTGATGGACAATGAGAATGACAATGATCAGTAGGGCCTACAGTAGGGGAGCTTGTCCGAGAATAAAGATTGTCCCCATAAATGAGAACGAGGATATCATCTCTGTAAATGCGGACGCCGGACAGATGCATCCTAAAAAATAATGATCGTCTGCATTAGCGCACAATTCTTATTTCGGAACCGCGTTTTGACGATGCAAAAACCGGTGCTTGATGCATTTCACACTTAATTTGTACAGAGACTTTCACATTAATGAACAATAAATCCTTGAGAAGATGGTCGGCCCATAAAAGTAGACGGTGAACTGGGGGTATATTACGCAGAGTCTGTTTTTCGCATCCAGCTGGGGAACCCTACAGGCTACACCCGCAGATCACCAAAGAAAAAATATGGACGATCCTTATTTTTTTAGGGTGCGATTTGTCCGCATTTACGAGTGTGAAAGTTCTCTGTGTGTTTGGGGTTCCTTTGCATGAAGGGCAATTTGCAGTAGAGGCACCTGGCCAGGAATGGTAGACTGTCTCTCATATCAGAATCAGATACTTTTGTAAAGATTTTTGAGAGCCTATTGCCTATTGGGATACCAATTTCCATTATTTATTTGTTCAGATATGATGCACGTAGACTAACTGCAATTTTTTTTCTTCTTATTTCTCATTTCAGTATCTTCATTTAGTTTATTTCCATTTCCAACAAAAATAAAATATGATAGGCCTACATAGGATTGCATTGTACATAGGGTCTAGTAAAACAATGAAATGGTAAATGGTCCAAAGTGTACAACAGTGTAAAACAGGTCTGTTATGGAGCAGAGGGGACTGCTGAAAAGCGAAGGCTTGTAGATTGCAGCCCCCTATAACTTATAGTTGCAAAAATAATACATCAAATATATCTTATGACGCAGATCTCTATGAATACTTCCCGAATTTTTGTTGCGTCCAATTGCCATACATTTATACGAAGAAACAAATCTGTGGCAGGTTTTTGTGATGGTTGAGCATGTCATATTTGAACGAGCATTAAGTTGTACAGTATGTGTCAGCAGAGTGTAGACAGCAGAAAGTTTTTAATATATTTTTTAATTTTACTATGACCATATTATTTGAGTACGGGTCAGGTTATATTGTAACATTGGATATAAAGTGAGACCCATAATGTTACTGGGTATTGTGGTTGTGTCATTTGAGTCGATTTTGTGTATTCTGTACATAAATTAAAAGTTTTTTTCCATTTCTGCATGCAAGCTTTAAGCTAATTAAGATAGAGAATTAAAAACCTGTAGTTTCTTTTCTGGGTCTTCAGTGTTGAGATTTCATTACAGAAATTATTAAGTTTCATTATCAGTAGTTTTTGTGCGGGCTGGTTATTATTTTTTGATGAAGTATATTTTCTCATATTTTTAAATGTGCTAAAATTTGTTATTGATTTATTTTATTTGACTTACATGTATGTATGACTTCACTCTCTTTTTGTTTTGTTTTCTACTTTTTTATCATTTTATAGTTTTAACATTATAAAGAAGTGTAGAATAGCGTAACGAAATCGCAATCAGAGACACAATTTTTCATTCTAGTCAGAGTCTAAAGGGCGTTAACTCTTTGTTAAAAGATACCTATATATGAGGAAACGTGCTTCTGGCTCCAAAAGATTGTTTTTATAAGAATAGTTGAGATGTATAATAATATAATAATATTTATCTTTTATATAGCGCTTATTACAAATGTCTCTAAGACTTTACAAATATACTATTACCTCGGTCATTGTATTACTATAAAATGTTGTTTGATCATCATTTTCATTTTTATCATCACAGTGTTTTACATAGACTGCGAAGCAGTCAAATTGAGATTACAACTGTTCGTTGCAAACCGTCTTGCTGTCTTTCTTCTATTACCCGAGCTTCTGTTTCTCTGCTCTTCTATCAAATCACCATGTCGACCTTCGATGACCCAGCTGAGGTAAGGCCGGTGAAAAAAATACCCGGGGGCTCGGGGCGAAATAGCCCCCGAAATGTCCAAAAGAGCCCCTGTAAATTTGCATAGAGTTCAATGCAAAACAGAATTTAGAGTGTTAATTTCATGCAGGCAAGCTTGAAAAGTAGCCCCCCAAAAATTAATATTAATTTTTTTCCCTGGGTAATGCTATGTAGCAAAAGTAGCCTGATCATGGCCGAGCTTCGAGTTTTTCACCAATTCTGCCCGGCGGCTGCCCGGCCACCGGGTGGCGGCCGCCCAGGCACCGCTCGTTTTTAGGGCATTGCTCGGTCGCTGCTGAAGTTTTAGCGCGGAATTAAAATTTGGGCGGCGCCTGCTCACTTTTCACTCACCGCCCGAAATACGCTCGGTGCCTGGGCGGTCGCCGCCCAGGCGGGCACCGACCTTATCGCTGGGCGATGCCTAAATTCCAACAGCGACCGAGCAGGCTACTGACCGGTCGGTCGCTGCTCTGATTTAGGCTCGTTTACGTTTCACACCTTTTCTGTGAACAGTGTATATTTTTAATTATCAGTCAAACCTGTCTACATGTATGTGGCAAACTGTCAATAGTGGCCACTTTTTTATTTTTGCCTGGGTGGCCTTAAAAGACGGGTTAGTTGTATACAAAATAAATTTAAGTGAGCACACATAAAGCAATTGTTGCATTAAAGTACTTTTTTCTTCTTTTTTTCACCTCAGTTGTGTTTTAATTACTTTCTTTTTCCTCAGGGCAATAGTATTTACCATGCCCCTCTAAGGAAGTCAATATTTTTTGTTCTTATTCTCTTTCTACAGTGCCCACTATGCATGGAACCTTTGGAATTGGATGATGTCAATTTCTTCCCATGCACATGTGGTTATCAGGTAAGACAGTCTTATTAGATATTATTGTCTATCTGCACTACTTTGGCCAGGAGGGATTAGACCCCCCTGTCTGGTCACTGACAAGTGGTTATCTCATCAAATCAGCTCTCAATTAACATAAGAAAGAGGGGACTATGGGGGGACCAACGGGTACTGCTTAGGCATTGTTTTCTATATAGAGGGCGCAATTACCTACAAATAGTGCAGTCCCGCTTTAAAGGAAGATGGTAGTCAGTTTCCATGTGCAGTAGGTCATCATATGCTGACACCAGACTTGGTGGAAATACCATTAATCAACCATCAAACCTGTAGTCCCATCAAGAAATACCCCCCGCCCAATGATATGTCCATCGAGTTTCAAACATATTCTAGTCAAGAATTACTGGGTTAAAAACGTGATATTAGCTCTAGGGTTGCTAGTAGCTTGCTGTATTCACCTTGTAGTGCTACTACTGATGGGTACGATTTATGTCAAAATGCCTGTTTATCCAATGGCTGTGCTCATGGTATTGAATTCAATGATAAATACAAAAATTAAAGAATTAAAGAAGGAGGGATCAAATGAAGAATATTTTCCTGATTTTCTCTTAAATATATTTTTTATAATTGTTTTTATTTACAGATTTGTCGGTTCTGTTGGCATCGTATTCGTACAGATGAGAATGGTTTATGTCCCGCGTGCAGGAAGGGTTACCCTGAATGCCCTGCAGACTTCAAACCACTCTCAGAGGAACAGTAAGTCCTAAGAAATGATACCAGTCTTTGTGATATCAACGGGTTTAACTCTTTATATGCCACACAAACAATCTCCCTCTGGTACATTGCTTTTGCATAGATAAGACAAAGGCTTCCAGATTATTCAGTTACTTTGAGTGCTAAATTAATCTATACCGGTGTTAAAAGGGTTGTCACCAAACTAATCAAGAACAGAAATAGGTAATTTTGCAAAGCCAGGGTGTTGCTCAAAGCAATCACTCCGTCAACTGGTGCAAATTTTTTTGTACAAAACTGCTTGTATGGAAAACAAGCAACCTTGCAAAGAAATAAAGAAAGCAACAAAGATGGAGTCTCATCTAACAACGATTTATGCCAACATTGAGGTTTATGCAATTAAAGATAAACTTTAGTACTGGTAATGCGATTGCATTGTGAAAGAAAAGGTGTGGAAAGGATCAGAAACAGTTGATCATGTAGCATGTAAGTATTGGTGTGCACTGCAAGGTTCTGGAGTCATCAAAATCATAATAAATTTGACCGAGTCTTGGTAAAGTAACAAGCACTCACATAGAAAGCTATATATGGGACAACACACATGGTGTCGGGGCTAGTACTACCTTGATTTCCTTGTCTTTCTATGCTCATTACTCAGCCAGTATACATTTTCTTCCAAAATTGTTTGGCACATGTCATTTATTTGTAATCTTGAACATTCAGTGTAAGTTTCGTTTGATTCTGTGAGAATATATTAATTTTTTTTTTACCAGTACTGGAGTTTATCTTTAAATTACTGAACTGACTTAATTCCTTGGTGTCTGCTGTTTGATGCCGCCAAAGTAAACAAAAGAGGTTTTTACATTTGAAAGTTGATGATGTACTGTTAATTTCATAGATCAAAGAACACTGAAAGTTAATGTGCAGTTGTCATGTAAATAATTGCGATGCCATTCTGAAATTCCAGTCGCTCAGAGTCAGTATAAAGATTTTTTAGATAAAGCCTTGAAAGTGCCACAAGTAAGAACCTCTTTAAGGAAAACTGAAACATTTTATGCAAAATTTTGATTTAATCCAGGCAGCATAGACTGGTTTATCATCTGTACCGAGTTCCATTGTAAATGATCTTCTCTTGATATTTTAGCCCTAACCGTTACGTCTTTTGTATTTTTTTTGTTAACAGGTTGCATCGGATAAAGAATGAGAAAAGACAGAAAGATATTCAGCGTAAGCAGAAGATCACAGAAAACAGAAAACATTTAGCCAGTGTAAGGTAAGCTCAATCAAAAACAGTCCGGGATTTCTTCTAACTTCCAACTCCCGAAACGACGTTCCACAGTTATGTATGTACATGCTCACCTTAGTTGCAAAGGACCAGCTGATTGTGTATTTTCAGTGCACAGTGTCCTTTTTATGAGGCAATGTGCTTGTTGAATCACAGCTACCAACCATTCCTATTTGGAGATATGAATCCTGTTTTGGGCTTTCAAGCTATTGTTTTGAATCCTAGATTCCTCTCTATTTCTAGAATATTCTGTGTGAAAAGTATACAAAATAGACTGTATTCCTAATTTTGCCTTAGGAGATTCCTAGTTTTTGCGGTAAAAGTTGGCAGGTGTGGTGAATACATATTAACCAGACATAGAATGTAGCTAGACATTAAAACTGTGACTGTTATGCTTGCAAAAGATATACAGGGTTTGCATCTTGATACATTTTTGTTGGCTTCAATATCCATGTTAGTAACTTAGATGAAAAATTAAAATTGTATACATTGATATTTCAAATCTAACAACACCAACAAAACAACAACAAAAAAGAAGTGGAAGATGAAAAAAGTACACATGTGAATGATGTGATTCTCATGTTGCACGAAGAGAAATGAGGGAATTATTAAACTTTTGTTGTACTTTGGGGTATAATAACATCTCTTGAAAGTAGAAATTAGATACTTTCTCTCAAAAGCTTCTGAAATGAAATGATCTCTCCTTTAGGGTTCACTCATTATACATTATGTCCTATTTATTTGTTTTTGCAGAGTTGTTCAGAAGAATCTAGTTTTCGTTGTGGGCCTGTCACAAAGATTAGCAGATACCGAAGTAAGTCATCCTCTCTGCACCATTTTATCACAGTGATTTTGTTTTGCAATGGACCTAGATTAAAAAAAAATTAATGTAAATTGTGCTCCTTCTCATGCATAATGATTTATTTCCAGCATCTATTACAATATAAATTAAGAAAATTATCGCTAAATATATGTTATAAGAACTGTTTTTTGAAGAGTTCATAAATGCAGATGAGGTGGTAGCTAGTTGTTATAAATTTATCATCTCTTAATATCTCTTACTCTGCTTTCGAAGAAAATGCGAGCACTGCCATTGTGATTTTATTTTAAAGAAATCAGACACATTAATATTAAGGAAAGACTGTAGTGTATATTTATTTCACAAATAACAACAAGACTATGAAAACTGATTCATTTTTATTTTTTCTCCCGTTTTCCAGATTTTGAAAAAAAACGAATACTTTGGGAAATTTGGCAAGATTCTCAAAGTGGTCATCAACCAGAACACATCGTATGCAGGCAGTCAGTCTCATGTAAGTACAAAGGGTCAAACAATGAAAAATGTTGGGATTAGTGGAGTGAGAGAATGAATTGAATGTATCAAATGAAATGCATTGCATTTGCTTTTTGCAGAAGCAAACCCACACACACACACACACACGCGCACAAATGTCCGTTGATATTTGATATTCAATATTTGATATGTGTGGCATGATTAATTTTGTTAGGGATTTTATTTGGATCTGCAAAGACCGAATTAATACCCAAATCCCAATTGTTTTATTCAAACATCACACAATCAACTTTGGTGCAAATCCATTTTTGCAATCTCGCAAACAATGTCTCCTGTTCATCCAAGCGTAAACACATACCACACAAAAATGATACCAAACGATTTGGGATAAAACACTCTTTCATAAGATTTATAATCATTTACTGTTCATTGATGATTTTTAAAATAATTAGCCATTTTCCTAGGCGTAAACTTTTTTTTGACTCACACTGTAGTATACATGTACATATATCACTTCATCGTATTAGTCTGTAGCTCAAATGAACAAGCTACATTTTTTTCACTGTGCCCTTTTTCATTCTGGGGCCCGTTTCACAAAGCCTCTTTTCAATGACAGATGACAAAAATCAGTGACAAATCTGCTGATAACCAATCAGAAGCAAGGATTTCAGTAGCTTATAACAAAAACTGTCATTTGTCACTAATTACAAGTTTTGTGAAATGCCCCCCAGGGGGGGGGGGGTGTTTCACAAAGATCCTAAGTTGAACTTACAAATTATGGAGAGCCATTTGTAGCCTTGAAATAAATATATTAAAAAGCAAAAAATTCAAGTATTTTAGACAGGTGATTTTAGACTTTTAATGAATTCCACATTAGAACATGAAATCTCCTTGAAAATATGAATGATTTGAATCAACATTTTATGCCTTTTCAAATAACTTTTACAAAATATTTTAAAATATGCTAACGGCTTTCCATAATTTTGAAGTCCAACTTAGAGATAAGTTCAACTTACGATCTTTGTGAAACACCCCCCTGTACTGATATTTCTGTGTAAACCTACAGGGGCCGAGTGCCAGTGCGTACGTTACGTATCAGAGGGCGGAAGATTCATTACGAGCAATACAAGCAGTCAACAATGTCCACGTCGATGGCAGGACGTTAAAAGCATCGTTAGGGACGACCAAATACTGCAGTCATTTTCTGAGGAATTCACAATGTCCAAAGCTGGTAAGTTAAAACTCGATGTTCAGTCTTTCATGACGTGAATTAAACATATCCTGGGTCTAAGATCACATTTCATGAAGGGTAAATTAGACCTCAGACTTTGTTTTAAAGGAACAGTTTAGTTCTTGTTTAAGTCTGCAAATGCCTTCAAAGTGCATGGTTATTGCTCTTATTCTTATTTATTACATTCTAGTGTCCTTTTAGGAATTTTAGACCCCCCAAAAATGTGATATTTATATTAAATCCGATCATACCTATTCAGCTCCACTTTCTAAAAGATATGGTGACTTTTAATTTAATTTGATTTAATAAATACAATACACGAGCAGCTGGTTTTGCGTATTATAACCAACATGTAAAAGCCAGCATTTGAATTGGCTGGAATAAAACGTATCAGGTGCTATCTCATTTTTTTTCAACGGCTGGTTCAAAATTATAGAAAATTTGTGGGGTCACACAAATATTAGAAATGCTTATATTTATGAATATTTCAGCCGTCTCTGAACCAATTTAGTAATTTAAATTGTACGCTTTTTCAAATATTATTTTTAAAATACTATTTTTCGTCTAAAGGGCAGCTTTTTGCGTCACCGCCTGATTTAGGGGTGTTCGCTACAATTTAATAAAAATATACCTCTGAAATATTGTGGATTATGATAACATCTTTCAATAAACAAGGTGTGCTTTGTGTGTTAGTGGCAGGCAAACCTCTCTTATCTGACTTTGGCCCTTCGCTTATAACTCGATCTTAATCGTTATGAAACACTCCCCAGCTCCATTAACTTTCAATGTTCTTCTCTTTTTTAGGACTGTATGTATTTACATGAGTTGGGTGACGAGCATGCCAGCTTTACCAAGGAAGATATGCAAATGGGGTAAGTTCAAAATGTCGCCTTGATTTTCAATCTTTCTACTTATTGTTTAATAGTATTTCACTCCTTTTCAGACTAGGCATATTGAGACCGTTAATTGCTCGATTATTTTTCATTTGTGCAACGTGTAGACTGTGGGATGATGTCGTTGCTACCGTATGAAGAAGAAAAAAAAGACAATAAAAAAATGCATTTGGGAGATTTAAAGATTTAAAGAATGTTGGTTGCATCAGCAAATCTTGCAGATTTTGGCATTAAAATCTCGACATAGAATTTTCTTGAATGTCAACCATATGTTGAAGCGGAGCTTTTTTAAAGTTTGTTCCATTTTCCATGAAATGTAGCTTTTTCTTGCCTTCGATGTATACATGTATAGAAATTTAACAAAAAGTTAAAGGTAATACAAAGTTTTGGTATGGGGTCATGAATTTGGTTCAAATGAATATATTGGAAGCATATACGATCCTACAATATTCAGTGATCGTTGTCGCGGTCGAAATCGACTCTACAGTTATGAAATTGTAAATAATTAACATTTTATGTTGAATAGCTTCCTCTCAAGGTCAAGATATTAATTAAGCTATAAAACAATGCTTATTGACTAAAATCGACTGATTAGCTATTGTCGTTCGGAAATAATATACCACAACTACATACTCTGAGAGTTTCATGGTCGCAGCTACCATTGTACGGCCGTAGGAGCTATTTTAAATTTATCAAAATTTACCGGGAGCACCGGTAAACCTTCATATTCAATTTTTCTCGAAAACAGAAGTGTTTTAGGGGCTAAAATTTCTGGTGTTATTAATACATCCACAGGGGCATCCAAATATATCAAAATTGTAAAGAATCACTATCCACCCATTTTTCAAAATTTCCCAAAACTTTGTATTACCTTTAAGGCCATTGTCTCTATTACTAGAAAAATATGATCAACGCATTCATTCTTTTTAAATTGTTTTTTCTTATAGGAAACATCAAGAATATGAACAGAAGCTAATGCATGACCTCTTAGGGGGTGGTAGCAGCCACAGTCCAGGTTCCTCTACCACTAGTACCACACACAACCACACAGTTGCTACCACAGCGTCAACATCAGCAACAACTAACTCATCAAGTGCTGCAAGCAATGCTGCAACGTCATCGTCGTCTGGCGGAGAGAGAACAAGGTCACAGTCAAATACAAGGTGGGGCAATGTGGTGCTACATGTTACTAGTGTCTGTGATATGGTGTAATATTGAAGCCCTAAAAAAATCGCGCCACAAAATGATCAAGAAGTGCCTCAAAAAAGTAAAAATCTTTGAGTGACCGGTTTTACCATACTCGTTTTCCCCAATAGACTGTAGTGTTATGAAAACCGTCCAGTGAACGGTTTTCGAAAATTGTTATTCCAATCATTAATATCTTGATAATCAGACAAGCGATCGGCTTGTAAAAGTCATGGAGTTCTGACCTAAAGGTTTATAATTTTCATTGCAGCATGAGCTAAATCAAGGATTAATTCTAATGGATCTAAGACTTGGTAACATTGTTCAGATGAGAGAGTGGTGCTAAGGTAGTGAATTCAATGCTGGATGTACAATTAAAGATAATCTGAAAGTTCGAGTGAAAAAAACCCATTATTAATGATAATAATTGGGAAAAACTGATCTGATTGATTCCTTAATTCTCCCAACTATATTTTTACAATTTAATTACATTTTAGGTGAATGTAAATTTTCACAGAGCAATGAATCGCCTCTTTAAACCATTCCAGACATCTAAGTGTTGAAAGATTTTTAAAAGCCTGTCTTTTGTCTTTTTTTCATGAAAAAAAAAGAATTTACTGTTAGAGGGTGTCGCACAGTGACGCCTTCAAAGAAAACCATAAATTTCTTTGTGGCTTGAGAAATTTTCCAGGATTTTTAGCACGATAGAGGGTTAGTACAGTAGGAGAAATATAATATGTAACATTTCATACAAATATTACACAGTTTTTTATCGAGTCACTTTAAAGGGTGTTATAGAGATTTAACGATGTAATCTCAAAAATTGCAACAGGGTAAAAATGCTGTAAGATTTCCAGCCTGAACACATTCATACCGTTGCACACGGCTAACAATCGTAAGCTTTTTTTGTTGTTGCCATTTTGCAGAAAAAAGCAGCCGTCACCGCCCACCACACAGAAGTCCAACAGTAGAGGGAGCCCTAGCATACCGACCGATTCCTGGCCATCGTTATTAAGTAAAACCAGCAACGCTGAGGGAGGCGATGATACGACACTAGGGGAAGAAACACACTCTACAGTAAACAGGTTAGCCTTGAAAACAAATAAGTGGGGATTGGTGGGCTTGGGGCGTAGCTGGTTGAGAGATAGAGTTGCGCCACCTGCTGTTTTTTTTCTACAATTTTATGGAGCTCCAAATAGTGTTCAATGGATATAAGAAAAATCACACTCGACAGTAAACAGGTCAGGCTTGATAACGAATAATTGGGGATTGGTGGGCTTGGGGCGGAGCTTGTTGAGAGATAGAGTTGCGTCACTGGCTGTTTTTTTTCTTCAATTTTATGGAGCTCCAATTAGTTTTCCATGGATTTAAGATTCAAGATTCATGTTTTATTGCTACCTTGTAGTATAGACATTTGTTGTCCAAATGGTGTTACATGCAACATAATCATAGACAAAACACATGTGTTGAGAGCCAGAAGTGTGTTGAAAAAACTACTGAACTTTTTATATATTTCTATACTTCTAAGGTACTCCTGCAAGTTATTCCATAAAACAGTGGCTGCATACAAAAATCACCTTTCCCTGTTAGATTTTGTCATAGTTTTAAAGATGAATGATGTCGTATATTAATGTCGGCAGTGAACTTACCTTTTTCTTTCTTCACAAAACTCCCCAACAGCCATACAACAAGAGAAACACCATCAGACATAGTGGACACCACAGACCCGCTGCCTACACTCTTACCGCCCTCAACCAACGGTCTGACGACAGACCTACACGACACCCTTTCACATCCGAACAACAACGCGGCGCCCCCTATTGATATACCCAACAAGAGAGTGATGACGGAGACGAGTAGTCTGAACGGCACACCTCATGAAGCCTCACCACAGGTCAGTCAGTCTATCAGGGAAAAAATTATTTAAAAAATTTCGGGGGCTACTTTTCGACCTTGCCTGCATGAAAATACCACTCTTTAATTTGTTTTGCATTGAACTCTATGCACATTTTGGGGGGCTCTTTTATGACTTTCGGGGACTCTTTATGGCATTTCGGGGGCTAATTTGCCCTGAGCCACCGTGAATTTTTTTCACTGCAGTCTATGCTTTGATTTGATTTGAATTGGTTTCACTTTTCTCTCTCTAAATATGGCTTTTTGTTAGTGTGAGTCTCTCTAGAGGTTTTCAAGATTGAACAGTGAGGGGGTGGGGGACAGCTTGGCCAGGGCAATAGACCAGTTTGTAGATACAATGTGCAGATTAAGGTCACTTGTACAAAATTGTAAAACCCACTGAGACAAATACCGGATACATGCTTACAACAGTTATGTAATCTTTATCCATGCATGCACCTATGATACATTCTATTGATCACAGGTGGAAGTAGTCCTTTCAAAAGGGCAAACAAAGAATCACCTCCATGACTTAAGATGTGATTATTCCAAAAGGCACAAAGTGGGATTTATCTATGTTTAAAAGATCTGTGGATATTTGGAGTCTCTGAACTATGTGCTAGCTACGAACTGGTCTATTGCAGCTAATACTTTATTCTGTCTGCAAATTCATTCATTCAATGAGAATCTTTGCATTTTCAACTTGGTAATTATTCTTAATATATTACGCTGTACATCTTTGCTTTATACTTTTATGCTTTTCTAGATATTTATACATGATTTAGTTTTATTTAATTTTCGGAGGAAACAACAGCAGTAAGCTTTATATCTTTGCCTGTCTGTTTGGAACAGGTGCAATCAATCCCCGATCTGGCCCCACCCCCGGTGACAGACACCAGGCAGCAGCCCCCGTCAGGTCCCTCAGGACCCCCTCCTAACCTGCCCCACCCTGGTAGAGGTGGCCCCTTTGGGGACATCTCGCACCTCTTTGGAGGCAACGGGTTCATCCCCCCGACCAACCTGCAGAGACACATACCCGCTGTGCCAATACCTGGCATGCCACAACAGAATGGTATGTCTGGGACTGTTGACGATGGTGGTGGTGGTGATGATGGTGGTGATGGCACTGATGATAATGATGATGGTGGTGGTGGTGATGTTAGTGTCGGCGATGGCGGTGTTGATGATGGTGCTGTCGATGGTTTGATCAAGGATGATGATTGTAATGATGATAATTGTTATTGTTATTATGTTGATAGTGGTGGTGATGATCGTGCTGTTGCTAATTTGGTTAATGACGATGATGGTGGTGATGAAGATAGTTACTTTGATGGTGATGGTGACTATAGTATTCATGATTGTTATGTCACAGATCATAATGAAAGTGATGAGGTGGTAGAGGAGGAGGGAAAGGAAGATGATGGTGGTGGTGATGATGGTTATGTTTAGGATGATGATGATAGTTTAAATGAGGAGTTAAAGGAGGAGGTAGAAGAGGGGGGAAAGGAAGATGGCGATGATGATGATGGTTATCGTGATGGCTACTATAGTGTTGACGAAGGTGATGATGATGGTTATGTTAAGGATGATGAAAGATAGTTTGAATGAGAAGACGGGTGGGAGAAGGAGGATGGTGATGATGATGGCAGGTATGATAATGACAACAATATTGGTGTATTCCTATTGACATTAATAATAAAGTCACATACTACATTTTTACTTTCCTGTTTGTTTTAGATTGGAACAATAGTGGTTGGACGGCTCCTAGTGAGCTCTTACCTATGGACGGTCATACTACAGACTGGCAGGCTGCCTTCGGTTTCGCATCAGATCCTAAAGAAACTAAAGAGAAGCACAATGATGATGATCTCGGTAGGCTCAAGTCCTTATTGCAAATGTTGATTAGTACGATGTAAATAGCTTAAATTTCAATGTTCTTTTCATACAATGAATGTAAAACAAATAATCACACTGTGTGTGATCTAACCTAAGTTTGATTTGATTTGATTGATTTAATTCTGTTTGATTTCCTTTTTTTCTTTTGCATTTTTACAAATATATAACAAGCAAACATTGCAAATTTACACATGACAAAAGAATATATGTAGAATAAAGTAAGGCTGGCTGTAACTAATCGAAAACATCAAACAGGAGGGTTGACAAAGTAAGCCAAGCTTGATAGTATGACTACCCTCAAAGGATACATAATAATACAAGTATGGAGGGGAAAAAGTGGTAAATGATTGAGTAATGTCACTTAGATACTTATCATGTGATGTGTTAACAGAGAAAAGTACTTGTGCAATTTGTTGTGTGAAAGAAATGGATTTTCTGTTGTGGAAGATGGTCATTTATCATAGCTCCCATGTGTTACCAAGGTACACATTGAAATGTTGATGCAGCATTTTTTTTAATATTTGGAAAGTTGAAGATAAAATTGAGTTTTGGTAAAAAAAAGAAAATGAATTCTCACAGAATCGAACAAAACTTACACTGAATGTTCAAGATTACAAATAAATATCATGTGCCAAACGATTTTAGAAGAAAATGTACACTGACTGAGTAATGAGCATAGAAAGATAAGGAAATCAAGGTATGGTAGCCCCGACACTATTTGTGTAGTCCCATATACATGTACATCTTTCTGTGTGCAGTGCTTGTTACTTTACCCAAGACTGGACCAAATGTATTATGATTTTGATGAGTCCAGAACCTTGCAGTACACACCAATACTTACATGCTACATGATCAACCTTTGCTGATCGATTCCACAACGTGTCTTTCACAATGCAATCGCATTACCAGAACTCACCTTTATCTTTAATTATCGGTCCATGTTTTGTTGTTTACAGGCTTCGATCCATGGCAGGAGTCCAGCCAGGGTTTAGCGGATCTGCTGGAGAAGGAACTTCAGTTGAACCAACCCATGAGGATCACTCAGCCACCTCCTGGATTCAACAATCACAGCCAACCGTTTGTTCCCATGCAGAGACACGACAGGCCAGGTAGATATCTTGATATGGATTAAAAGAGAGTGATTAAGTGAAAAAGAGGGAGAGATAGAAAGCGATGAAGTGAGAGAGAGATTTTATTAATGGAAGAACAGGACCGTTTGTTCCCATGCAGAGACATGAAAGGCCAGGTAGATATCTTGATATGGACATGTATTCATATAGGGATTGAAAGACAGAAAGAGAGAGAGAGGGTGATTGAGTGATAGAGAGAGAAAGAGAGAGAGAGAGAGAAGGAGATCTAGGAGGAAGTGAAAAAAAATCAAAAATAAGATGGGAGGAAATAGAGAAGGTAAAGATAATAGAGAGAGATGGAAAGAAGGGGAAAATATGAGAAATTATATTTACAAGATGAGAGAGGGGGGATTCATGATACTTTTTCCTTGAGGGGGGGGGGGGGGGTGGGAAAGATGATTGGAAAAAATGAAGATAGGATCAAGAGTGAAAAGGCAAGAAAGAGCAGGGTAAAACAGAGGATGGAGAAAAGAGGAGGTAAAGAGAGAGGGGGTTGGAGGGGGGGGGGGGGTGATATGATTGTTTGTAAGACATAGAATGGAGAAAGAGAGAGGGGGTTGGGGGAGGGGGAAATATGATTGTTTGTAAGACATAAAATGGAGAAAGGGAGAAGGGGTAGGGGGAGTGAAACTATTGTAAAACAGAGGATAGAGAAGGAGATTGGAGATGGAGTGTGCTGATGAGCTGTCTGCTTCTTTGTTCCTTACCTAAACCTTTACTTATCCCTTACCTATCCATTCTCTTTTGAAGCCGGTAGAAGTAAAATCCTACCCTGGGTACACAGCCAGTCTTCGCCCACATCAGAAGCCCCGCCCACCGGCCAGACAGGACCCGCCCATCCCCCGCCAGCCAATCACATGCCAAGGTTTCCTCCCCCTCGTTCATCGATGCCAGCCCATTCTCCTCACAATTCAAACCCATTGGTAAGAGTCATGCATTGGTCTTACCTTACCCTGCAGTTATAAACCCATTGCAGTTCAGTTTTCTTAAAGACCCTGTCCATATTGAAAAATGAAATGAATAAGTTATAAGTATATCAAAGAAAAGCTTACAAGCCATTGACTACAATAAGACCAATGATATGCTACTTTAGTGCCTGTCAGACGAGTAACAGCTCTATAAAAACTTGAAATCTAAAGCTTTGAAAATCTGGAGTTGTCAACCTCAAAACTAGCTATCGAATTGATGACATCATCTTATGTGGAGTATGGATATTCACAATGACTTTGCATTAATTAAGCACCGCTCATCGCCTCAGCTATATAGGCAACCCGATCAGGTGCACATATTATTTTGTCACTGTAACTGAAACAAATTTGACCCCTGTTGACCTGTCATTTTGGATAGGTGCAGAAAATAAGGTTTTAATTGTTTTGGGGTAATACTGAAAGGGAAAATATTTTGAATTCCTTTATATATATATGTATTCTATGTTGATTCAGCTTTCCATTGATAAAAAGTTGTATTTTCATCAGATAGGGTCTTTTAAGTTTATAGGAATCAAGTTTCCTCCTCAAAGTCACAATTATTTGCACTTTCCACTCTTTCAAAGTTAAAACAAATTAATATGTAGATGAAACGGTGTGAATTAAAATTACAATGGAACCTACAAGAAATTGCCAGTTTGTACCTGAAATTTGTGATTATGAATATCAATGCACTTCCAATTAACAAGAAAAAAGACCTAACAACAGAAAAAGTTTCTGCAAAAGGTTAAACCCCTAAACCCCAAATTGCTTGTTTCAGACTGATAATGTTCATCTTAAAACCTGGCAGGACGGGTTGAGGGCGCTATTACCCAACATCAACATCAGCTTCGGCCAATCACAACAACAGCATCAACCGCCGCCGTCCTTCCTTGGGGACATGACAAGGGTCAATGCACTACAACAAAATGAAGGTGAGGTCAAAGGCCGAGGGTATAATTTATGTGGTCGTAAAGATGGGCCCCGTCTTACAAAGAGTTGATATTAATCGCAACTTATTTGCAATTGATATCAATCGCAACTATTTACATAAGAGATAGGAGACGGCAAACTTGCGATTGATTCGGATCAATTGGGACTCTTTGTAAGACGGGGCCCTGGTGTACAAATGATTCATGTTTGTAAGTGAATTATTGAATATGCACATCACGCAGGTTAGGTCACAATCGGATGATGAACGTGACTTGTTGGGTTCAAGATGCCTTGGCCAAGTGTGACTAAACCGAGAGCAGCGCATATCACTAACGATCAAGCTTCGAAACATGAATTATTTGTTTCATAAATGATGTCAACGATATGAATATGAAGTTGAGAAAAAAAAGCAACAAACCTACTTCTTAGCCATGCATTATCACTTTTTGATCGGAACCTTTCTGAACAATAAGCGTGGTAGGAAAGGATGATTGCATGGTCACGTATCATTTGACCAATTAGAATGCCTACATTCTAGAACCCGTTTTTATAAATGTGATAACTAGACTCTTCAATGATTGATGAAGGTTGCCTAATGATAATTTCCGGTTTTTTTATAGGCAAATTGTGATAACAATCTCCTCCTCGCCCCCCCCCCCCCACCTCCCTCCCCTTTAATTGGCCAATTACGATTGCACTTTAGGATTTGCTTTCCTCTGTTGAAAATCAATTTGCTCAATGCTGATTGGCTAAATGATGATTACTATCTCCTCTGATTGGCTGAGAATAAATTTGCTCAATGCTGATAGGCCAAATGCTGATTACAATCTCCTCTTGATTGCCTTCCAGGTGATTCATGGGTGGGCTCTCCTACTGGGTCATCATGGGCGGTAGAAGACCCAGCAATACTCAGTATCCGAAGCCAGCTGCCAAACTCAGCCGAGCCTAACGGCACCGAGGGTAGGTCCCCAAATCATGCACCTAAATTTCCCATACTAGACCTTCAGGTCCTGCCCAAAATCCTTGTAGATTATGGCTCTGGTGGGATTTTGTTTTCCTTGTGTGAAAGGCGTGTAGCGATAACAGAAAAACTAGCTATTACCATCAAAGCTCCTGCAACTCCCACTATCTTTGTGTGTTATAAGATAGGAAAGCGTATCACCTTGCATCATCATTACCATGTCATATGAATGAGCCTATGGTCTTTCAACCGGAGTGTTAACTCAGTCAGTAGAGCGTCCGCCTCACAACCGGGAGGTCGTGAGTTCGAACCCCGGCCGCGTCATACCAAAAGACTTTAAAAGATGGGAGTTGTTGCTACCTTGTTTGGCGTTCAACAATAAGGGATAGAGCAACGTCGATCTGGCGCTGCTCAGTGGCTGCCGGGCTCACGATCAATTGGGCAAAAAGAATTTCTGTTTCGGTTTAATAAAATTTGGAGTGGACTATTAGGCTATTATTATTATTATTATTATTAACAATGTGATATTTTACATGTTCATGGTCACTCTATGTTTTTTTTAATATTTAACATGATTTGTTAACCTTGATATACATTTCCCTTTCTTTTGCTCCCCCCCCCCCTCTCTCTCTCTCTCTCTCTCTCTCCTTCCTTCCCTCATCCCTCCCTCCTTCCCTCTCTCTCCCTCCCTCCTTCCCTCTCTTTCTCTTTCTCTCCCTCCTCCCCTCCCTCCTCTTCCCCCTTCATCCTCCCCCTCCCTCTGTCTCTCTCTCTCTCATTCTGCCCATTTGTATAATCCAGGTGAAGAGAAGCCCCACTGGTTTGAATCCCTACAGAACCTCACAGAGACAGACTCCCCCACACACACACCCACACAACAACAGACAAATCATTTCTTCCCGACAGATCACATACCCAACAGGGGTAAGTCTGTCCCAATTTCATTGTGTTTCTTTACATATTTATTTCTCCAATTGCCACCTGCCCTTCATATCTTGTTCATTGTGACTTTTCTTTGACTTAGATTAAAAATAAAAACTTATACAATAAAATATTTTGTTTAAAGTCTGTCCTGTATGTTTAAGTTTTTAAAAAATAGGAAACATAACGATATGCATATATAAATGTAGGCGGATATATACAGCTCGCCTGGTTAAAATATGTACCCCTTCCAGGATAATTTTACCATTCAGAAAATGCAGCCCCTTGTTATTGATATTGTGTCTAATATTCCTACCCCTCCCCCTAAAAAAAAAAATGAATAAATAAACAAACAAAATGATTAAATTGATGGATAAAAAAATATATTTAAAAAAAAGTAAGTTAAGAAAAAAAATCTTGTCCATATTCAAACCGGGTCATAACTTTTTGTTACAGTTATGATTGTATACAGTAGGCTTATAGTTGCACCACTTAAGAGAGGGGGGATTGGGGAGTCCTGAAAGGGCTGTCAGTTATCTTTCAAGACTACACACACACTCAAAAAATAAAGATTACCGACAGTCCTTTTCAGGACTCCCCAATTCTCCCCCTTCTCTCACATGGTGCAACTGTAAGCCTACTGTATATCTACATCACCATGCAAGCCGATACTTATAAGCAGCATCTAATTATGATTTTTGTTTTACTTCTTAAAATTCAGCGGGTGTTTCATGGAACAGCCGTCTTCCACCTCCAGGTTTCAACCCTTCACAAATCAGACCGCTAGCACAGAATACAGCTGAGCCACACACAATTACAGAAAGTAAGTTTCCCTCCATTGACCTAATGGATCAGTCCACTCCTGCATGGAGGTAATTTGTTGATGGGTTAGTTGATTTGGCTTTATAGGGGTGTTCGTTGATAATGTTCACAAATCAGACCGCTAGCACAGAATACAGCTGAGCCACACACACTTACAGAAAGTAAGTTTCTCCCCATTGACCTAATGGATCAGTCCACTCCTGCATGAAGGTAATTTGTTGATGGGTTAGTCAATTTGGCTTTTTAGGGGTGTTCAATGATAATGTTGCAAATCAAGCCACTAGCACATAATACAGCTGAGCACATAATTACAGAAAGTAATTTACCCTATTTACCTAATGGATCAGTCCACTCCTTCGTAGACGTACACTGTTGATGGGTTAGTCAATTTGGCTTGTTAGGGTGTTCAATGATAATGTTGTAAATCAAGCCAGTGACACAAAATATAGCTCAGCCTCACACAATTACAGAAAGTAATTTACCCCTATCGACCTAATGAATCAGCCCAATCCTTCATAGCTGTTTATTGTGCTTTGGTGTGATCCATTTTCGTATATAATACAGCTCAGCCTCACACAATTACAGGAATTCATTTACCACTATCAGCATAATAGTATGACACTTCATAAACATACATTGTTGATGAAATTTGTTTGATTTTTGTTACAAATCAACCTTTGTAAACAAATACAACAGTTTGACTAGTCACTTCTAAGCGACGTCATTAAAAGAAGTCTTCTTCTTTTTTCCTTGTTATTTTCTCCCCAGATTTGTAGCATCTCAACAGTAATTTATGACAAAACAAGCAACGAAGCCCAAGTCCTCCACGACGACGAATATTATATTTATGCGTGCAGATGTCGACTGCGAAGGTCAAATGGAGTGACCTGTGACCCCTGATGCCATACCTGCTTCCAGTTATGAATTGTGATTCTTTATTTAATCTATTTTATTTCTTCTTCCGTTCGTACGTACGTGCTATTCGTACAATGTGATTTATACCTGTATGATTTCTAGTGATTGGCGATTCTGTGCAATGTGTCCCGTACTATACAATGTCTTTTTCCACATATTTCGTCCAGAAATGTAGAATTTTCTTGATAAGGCCACTGACTAATGGTACTTTCTAATATCACTAGTACGATAAAGGCCTGTTCAGATATGGCACGATAAACCGCCGCAAAGAGACCACCACATCTTTTTTACTAATGTATAAAATGGATGGTAACTGCGCACAGCAAATGACTTGCACGTATTCACTGAGCTCTTTGTTGAAAGATTCAGAGATGTGAAGATTATTACACCTTACTTCATCCTAAAAAACTGCAGTGGTTTTGTTATGTCATATCTCCATCGAGCCGTAAGTCAAAGTCAATCAAGAGAGTTTTATTCATGTATTAAAAAGTGGATATTTGTCGTTAGTCGTACGGAACACATTGTACTGAATCGCCCTAGTATGTCCTCTGTCATTATGTTCGAAATATATAACCTATGTGAAGGGTCCAGTATTTTTGTATGATTTACATATCAACCTTGTTCTCTTATGTATTACCATAGCTTTCAGTGTCCAGTAAGGTTTCCTAAAAGTTAAAGTATTATCCCAACAGACAGATATGTGTCTGTTAAACTAAAGAAAACAAGGACACATCATTGGTAGGAGTACCAAAGTGGTACCTTTTTCCCTTATGTATTACCAAAGCTTTCAGTGTCAGTAAGGTCTCCTCAAAGTTAAAGTATTATCCCAACAGACAGATATGTGTCTGTTAAACTAAATAAAACATTGACACTTTATTGGTAGAAGTACCAAAGTGGGCCATTGCAACCAGTGAAAAAAAGGAAATTTCATATGGGAGTGGTCAGCAATTTATCCCCGGAAAGCTCTAAAAACTCTAAATGAACACTGTTAGAATGCATGAAAATACTTGGAAATTAATGCCAAAAAATGCTCTCATATACTGCAGTAAATCGAACTTGTGCACCCATGGATAGAAAATTGATTTGTACTCTGGTTAGCGTCATTCTGATTAATTACTTACTAATTGCTGTATGGGAATTAAACAACACATATCCAATATTCTGTTAACATATTTATAAGAAATAATGATAATGTGAAGCTTGTTATCCCTCCAGTCCATCCATTTTACTGAGAATAATATCTTTAAAGGTTTACTGTAATTATTTTTTTGAGGGGGTTGCCCTGCAGCGAGAAGCTTAAAAAATAAAGCCCTTTTATTATCTGACACCTACATGTACACAACAAACTTTGTTCTAAGGACAGAAACTGTGACGGTGTACACGTCAGTTAGCACAAATAGCATATACATTGCATGTCCACCCATTTCAATAATTTCTTCATGAAAAAAATCATTTTGATTCTAGCATGCCCAGTTGTTCTTCCTCCAACATACGATACATGCTGGCTCTCATTTTGAGCAGTAGATTTCTTTACTACCATTTTCTTCGATATTCTGATTTCTGTAATTCATCCTTCGTGCAGGCCTCCTTCACGTTATATAACTCGTATATAAACATACAGCATCGTTTTATATTTTGTCCATTCGTAGAGTATGGCCCTTGAATCTGTACTTCATCCTTCATAAATACCTGCTTCCCATAATATAGCTAGGTTTACACATGTCATAAACATGACCTATCTTTATATATTTAGTCTACAGACATGAAGTTTGTTAGAATACGGTCCCTGGTTTCTGTAATTCATCCTTCATAATTGCCCTCTTTTCCATAATAAAGCTAGGCCTTAAAAAATCGTCACCACTACTGGGCCAGAAGGGATTAGACCACACAGAGAGCCATCGAGGTCACTGTGACAGGTGGCTATCTCATTAACTCAGCTCTTATTTAACATAAGAAAAAGAGGATCATGGGGGACCAACAGGCACCGATTAGGGAAGTTTTCTATATAGAGGGAGCAAGTAGCTACAAGTATGGCAGTGTGCCTTTAACATACCCTAGTCCTATTTTTATATATTTAGTTTCCAGACATTTCGTCCCTAGTTTTGGTAATTAATCTTTCATGATTACCTTCCTTTGTTGTCTATAGACTTGTAGTTTGTTAGTATGGGACTCAAACTACATGAATTTCAGGCAGAAAGAAGCAAAAGCGCAGATCATTTTGTCGACTCGTTCAACGTACATGTATAGACATATCGTCAAATATATACAGCTAGGAAATGGTATCAAAAGTACAGGAAGATTCACCCAGAAGAGAAATTAAAGCCTAACTGCACTAGTTTGGTCAGGAGGGATTAGACCTCCCTGGTGGTCACTGGCTGGTGGTTATCTCATCAAATCAGCTCTCAGTTAACACAAGAAATGGGGGACCAACGGGTACAGATTAGGCAATGTTTGCTATAAAGAGAGTGCAAGTAGCTACACGTAGTGCAGTCCCGCTTTAAGGAATATACTATAAGGATTGTCTCTTTATGAAGGAGAAATTGATAATAGAGACATGATTTTTGATTTAATTGTAATACAGGAACATAGATTTACTGACAGTATGTATCAAATTTAGTTGTATTTTTTTTTTTTGGGGGGGGGGGATTGGGAAGAAGAGGTTTAGGTGTGTCATATCAAACATTTCATCCATCTTTGTGGTGGCCATTTTAAAACGTGTGATGTTACCAGAAAAGAATGAATTATATTTTTCTGTGCCTTTGCTATTTCCTGTTAGATCTTATATAACCCTAGGATTTAGTAGGCAATTCAAATAACTCATTAAGGTTTCATGTTCAGGAGTGGTGGAGATTGTGCCCTTCTTGATCTCATATTCATGAATGCAGTGACAAAAGGGCACATGTTCATTGTCTAAATTTAAATTCTAGATCCACTATTCAACTTAACCTTCTGGAGGATTTTGAACCCAATGATTGAAGTACATAAACAAGGATACCAGTTTTCATGCAAAAGCTTGAATTCAGGCCCTGGCAATTTTTTCTTTCTTTCTTTCAGACCATAGTTAAGCTCATTGTAGGTGATTTTCAGGCCCTCTGATAAGTTCTAACTGGCATCCCTGCATAAAGTAATATGCTATGTAAGTGTAAAGAGGATAAACACATAGAAGCTCAAGAACTGCAGTATTACTATGTCTTATTGGCTCATAGCAGAAAGGGTGTTAGCTATGTAAATGCTCTTGTGCTGAACTGAAAAAAGTTATATATTATGATTGGTTGTGTTCTTTGAAAGCATACTAGTTAATCTTGTCCCTTTCTTATTTTGCAATAACGTGCATTGGACTTGTATGAATGCAAAATGTTGCTATTGTTTTGTTGCAGTTTTAGTCAACTCTCAAAACCAAATGCCCCCTACATCCTATCTTGTTAGTCATCAAATTGCGAACAAAGGCTATATGATTGTTACATTATGGAGTGCAGTTTGACTAGCGCCCTCTTGGCCTTAGACTATACCGGCTGTGTTCTTCTTGCAAGACTTTTCTCCTTTTTAACTAGTGGGAGGATGTGTCTGGAAACTACTGCAAAGTGGTCTATTTTAAGGAAATATAGTATTTTTTCCAATTATAACATATCCCTATGTATCAGGAAATAGAATCACATTTATAACATTTAGCTAGTGGTGTGGCTCTTGGGGTTTTAATGAAATGTTAAATTTTTATTTTAGAAATTTGATATTTCAATCTTATTAGGAATGGACATAAGGTATGTCATTCGAAAGCTGCTGTGAAACTTACTTTGGGTGTCATTTGTCATAAGATTATCTGCGAAAAGTGAAGGTACGCTTTAAGCCCAACTAAATTTTGGAATAACCAATGGCTTATGTTTGCTTCATAAAGCAAATTATTTCTGTATTTCTTTGTAAGATCAATACTAACCAATATTTTATCTTAAAGATCAATTTGCATTTAAATACCTTTTTGTCTTATATTTTGACTACCGGTAAATAACAATTTATTGATGCTGAGTATATTTGAGTGCATAAAGACAACGTTGTACGGATCCTTCTTTGATAAGCACTAAACATGAACGGAATATTGTCATTATTATCATTGGCTCTCCCCTTCTGAATCTTTGTGGAAAATGGATTGTTTTTGGAGACTGGACGGACCGATAGAATTTTAAATTATTCAATGACATATGATTGATATGTTCTATTTATCTCTATGTATTCTTTATTAATGCATTGTAGTGAAATGGTGTCATTTTTTTTAGCATGCTATATTAAGAGGACTCTATAAGTTGATGGTATGAGATGCTACATAAGTAATGTGAATGCATTATAAATGTGATGCATTCACATTTGATGGCATGATGATAATATGGGATGCTACACAAGTAATGTGATGCATTCACATTTGATGGCATGATGATAATATGGGATGCTACACAAGTAATGTGAATGCATTCACATTTGATGGCATGATAATATGGGATGCTACACAAGTAATGTGAATGCATTCACATTTGATGGCATGATATAATATGAGATGCTACATAAGTAATGTGAATGCATTATGAACGCAATGCATTCACATTTGATGGCATGATAATATGGGATGCTACACAAGTAACGTGAATGCATTCACATTTGATGGGATGCTACACAAGTAATGTGAATGCATTATGAATGTAACAGTGTCAAGAGAGAAAAAACAAAACAAGAATTCTATGAGAATGAAGACATATTAAAGAGAGAACTGGGAAAATATGACTACATTTGTTTCGGTCCTTGTTTTCATGATTATGGCGTATCATGTTTATAATTGATTTCATACAAACTTTCTGGCCTAACATTCAGTTTATTGCACAGCGCCATATATAGGTCAACTTGACAACATGGCGTAACCCAATACATAGTTTCAGCTTTGCAGACCGAGGACTCAGGTTTGAGAACCAGCAGCACAGCAAGTTACAGGAACAAACAGCTGACCCGACATGGTGCTAGAGGGGGTTTTGCTTCACTGATGTACAGTCATCGTTGATGTACAAACTATTGCCTCTTTATTTTACTTATCATTTATTTTTTCGTTTTTTTTTCTCTCTCTTCCTCTCTCTCTCTCTCTCTTTCTCTTTGAATTGCTTTTTATGTACATGCAGGAATTTTGTACATTTCTGAATTGCCTTTCCACTTAAAGCTAAGAACTAGAAGGAAGAAAAAGAAGAAGAAAAAAAAGAGCGAAGTGTGTAGTTATGAATCTCGAGAGAAGGGTACATGCGCGAGAAGAAAGAAAAGATACGAAGATTTTCCAACCCGTACTGATAGTGATGTAACTTGTGGGAATGGCTTTTGTTAGTGGTGCGAATGAACTAGTATCATTTTTGTTATCACATCCTCTCCTGGACTTTGTAAGCTTGAAGTGAGAGAGAAGTGTGAGAAAGGGAGAGACAGAGAAAGAGTGTAAGAGAGAGACAGAAAGAGAAAAACAATTTTTGACCTTGTTATCAATTACTTAATTTCATGAATTTATGTTGTAATCACCAGTAAGATGAATAGATTGCTTCCAGTTATCACGAAACCTAACCGTATTACACAGAACACAGCTACTTTGATTGATAACATTTTTACAAATTGTATCCAAGCTGATTTAGATTGTGGTCTTATTTGTTCAGACCTCTGTGATCATTTTACTCTATTTTGTATTAATCTTGGAAAGAGTGTTGATTTTATAGATAAAAATATATCTGAACAGAGGAGGTTAATAATTGATAAAAGAAAAGGTCACTTCAAACTAGGATTGCAGTTAGCTAACTGGAATCAGGTGTATGGAACTGTAGAAACCGAACTATGTTTTTACCCTTTGAATTACATGATTCATGTTTCCCTTATATTTATTTTTCAGTGAGACGTAAGAGTAAAAAGCCATGTATTAATAATGGTATGTTGAAGTCGATAAAGAAGAAACAAAACAATAATATAAATCTTTGAACAGTAGTAATGAAAGTCATAAACAAACTTATATCGATA